CAAGAAGTTTACTTTATTTGGGGGGTTTTAATTTGGTTGGTTTTAGAAAGGGTTTTTTTGCATTAGCAGTACAACTTCCTATAGACTTGCAGATAGAACCTTGAAGACAGACTACTGAGAGCCTGAGAATGCTCGAGTCAGCTCTTTAGAGGGCACCAGGGTGGTTTTATCAATCTTGTGACTGCTTTGTGGGAGTGGGAACTAAGGCAGGGAGCTGAGACTGGGTGCTGGTTGCCTTGGGACAAAGGTAGGGTCTGGTGTGGAATAGTGTAGAAGAAAGAGAAGATGAGATAGAGGCCAGGGCAAGGACTCCAGGAGAAGAACTGAGAAGCTTAAAGCAATTTTATGAAGCTTGACTTCATGATGTGCAGTGGGTCCCAGGAGATCTTCAGCAAAATCTCTGCATCTCACTGGCTCTGGTTTTAGAGTTATGTCAGTTATTTAGTGTGGCCTCAGGGTTGGGTACACTGGGAAACTAGGGTGACCTTGCTTTCCTCAGGCCATAGTAGCCCCTTCTGGAAGTGAGCAGGGTGGATCATTGTGATATTCCTCAAACTGAATTTGAATTTGCACCTGGATATAACAGTGATAGGAGGAGGTTACATGTCTAAATATAGGAGGGATGCTATTCTAACTGTTCATAGGATTCTTTCTCATAATAAAAGTTCTCTAGGTTGAAAGAAAGAGCTTGAGCTCTGGTGACCTCTCTCTCCCACACACACACAAACATATTGCCTCAGAGTCACAACCAACTCATAGCTGACCCTCCTATGGGTTTTCAAAGGCTGTAAATTGCATGGGAGGAGATTGTCCATTTCCCCTCACAGAGTGGCTAATGGATTCGAACTGCTGAAGAGGCGTTGCTTTTGCATTAGCGGTACAACTTTCTATAGACTGCATCACCAGAGTTCTTTTCTGGTGGCATAGTCCACAGGAAGTCATGCTGCTAATCCGAAATCCACACTACTCTGGTGGTTCAAATCCACCAGTGACTCTGAGGAAGAAAATGTGTCATTTACAGGCTAAGAAACTGATTCTGTGCAGAGTTAGCTAGGAATCAGTTCTGATTCAAATGGCAATGAGCTTTTTCTTTTGGCTTTGTTTTGTTTTTCAGGAGTTGAAAGGGGAGATCTAAGCAATTAGGACGAGATTGGCCCAGGTATGAGCATAGGGAAAGGCTGAGTAGTCAGAGGAGAGGGTGGAGTGGGTCAGAGAGAGCTCCATGGTCAAGAGCCTCAGGCATCAGGCCAGGAGGCTGAGACGGTGGGGAATAGGCTGCTAGAAAGGAGGTGCTTCAAAGACCTGGGACTGGAGGATGGTGGGGGGTAGGGGACAGTGTATGAAGCCAGGACATTTCTACAGACAAAAACAGCAACCACAGTAGTCTCTTCCAAGAGACTTGGTGATTGATAAGGAACTTGGGGGAGTGATGTCATGGGGAGAACAGGAAAGAAAGGGAGACCTCTCTGGTTCTGGACAAGGTGACAAGGCAGAGCAATTTCTTGAGAAAAATTCCCTACAGATTCCTAGAGGAATCCTACTAACAGAGATTCCAGTCAAAACCCAAGGAGAACCACGGTGAAGATTTCACTTTCCTACTTAAGAGACTAGGGTGGTTACATCTACCTCCCAGGAGAGGCTGTGGTGGGCTGCAGGAGCTAAAGTTCAGAAAGCACAGACTTTAGCAAGCCAGAAGGCTGTGTTCAAATCCAACAGCTGCATTGCAGAAGAAAGATGGAAGCTGGATTTAACCTTGGGTAGTGGGTTGATCTGGGTGGGTACTAACTGGATGGCACTCAGGGAAGGAGATAGTGCACTGCAGCTCTCTGTTAATTAATGGGACAGGCAAATAGCTGGAGACTGGAAACCTTTGAAACATGCAAGGTCCTTTGACTGGAGACAGGACAGACATGCGGTTCTCACTGTCCTCTTCAGGGGAGGAGCTCCCCAAGAAATATTCCTCTCCCGGACAGGGCTCAGGTATTGTGTCCTCCCTTTGATAACCGGGACCCCTACGCTAAGGGAGCCTGCTGGCGGCAAAGGACTCCTGGAAATTCCAGGGTTCCTGGAGGCCCCCTGGCTCTCTCTGAAATAACTTGCCTGCCCTCTAGTGGATTCCCCAAAAGTCGCTCAGATTCGTGAAACCCTCATCCAGGGATCTTTTGAGGTGCAAGTGGGGAGGTGCAGTGGAGTGAGAGTGAGGTGCTATCAAAAGATAATGAAGTTTGAATCCACCAACTATTCCGTGGAAGAAAGATGAGGCCGTTTGTTCTGATAAAGATTTATAGCCACGGAAACCCGATGGGGCAGGCAGTTCAGCTCTGTCCTGCAGGGTTGGTACAAGTGAGAATAACGTACATAATTCTCATGGCAGTGGGTGTGTTTGCATGATACTGAGACCAGGGTCTTTAACAGAGTATCATGGGCAAGGAAGCACAGGGAGAAGAGACATGGCTGACCCTCAGGAAAGAATTTGGGTTTAGATACTACACAACTCCACAGACCCCTGGTTCAACTCTACCCCTTGTCCAGTCCCACTCCTTACAGTGTGGGTAGCAGCACTCACTTCATAAGGTTTTGAGGACACCTCTCCAAGATGCTGCACGTCACAGGAGTGCAGCGTGTGTATGCCTCCTCATCCCAGCACCATCCTGTCAGTGTGGATACTCGGCTCCAACAGTTCTAACCTGGATTCTCACGTACATGGGTGTGCTTAAGTGAGGTTCACCAGCCACCACAGCAGCCTCTTCCATCTCCACTGCCTCATTCTCTTTCTTCATTCTGCTGACCTCCACTGGCCAAGTCTGTGCCAAACTCTGCACCAGCAGCTGTCATCATAGAGGACTCAGCCCTGCCCTCTTTCCAGAGAGGCACATCTTTCCAGCCTCAGCCACAGAGGTCCATCTCAAGTACGGTCAGAGCTGAAAGGGATGGGAGGGGGTTTCAGGGGTGACTTGTTAGAGGAGATTGCCGATTTGCTGAGGCTGAAGGGTGCTTCACATGCTTGAAGGGGTGGGAAGCAGAGCGGCCGGCTTGGAGGTGAGAGTGTTCCTAAGCACATGAAGAACAATGATGCAGAAACAAGGCAGCGAGGGAAGCCCGTGGCTCACAAGATCCCATCTGAGCATTTAGCCAAGTCCAGAGGCAGAGAACAGCAGAGGTTGTATCCTAAGCAGACTCATCCTAGGAGGCTGGAGACCTCGGAAGCTGGCTTTTCAAAAATGGGAGGTGGTTCATGAAGAGTCTCTGGGCCAGTTTGGAGGATTCGGTTGTTCATTCATTTGTTCACTCACCTAACCAGCCTCCTAGTGCACACCTCTTGCTGGGCAGTGGGCCAAAGGGGTGAACAGACAAGATTCCTGCCACTGGGGATGGGGCGGGGGGACGCGGGTGAAGCAGAGAGGTCAAACACGGAAACTACTAATTACAAACCGAGGAAGTGTGGGGAAAGTGTAATGAAGCGGTAGCTTTTTTTATTGGACATTGAAGGATGTGAAGGAGTTTATTAGGGAGGAAACAGGGACAAGGGCATTTAGGTAAAGAAGACAACTACAGCAAAGGGGTGACTTCCTGAGGGCTTGGGGAAGAGTTAATAGTCTGTTGTGGCCAAAGACGCACGTCGGTGAGGTGGAGTTAGCATGTGTAGGGCTCTGAATGTCATATGCACACATACATTCATGGACACCACGTACATATACACATACACATGCATGAACACACGAACCACATGTAGACACAGCGGGGTCCCTGTGGGCACTGTTCCAGATTAAACAGCTCCCAGGGACCCCCTTGTTTGAAGGTGACAGCTCTTAGCTCCCAGAGGGGTCTTTTGAGGAAGGATGAGTTTGTTCAGGGTTTAACTAGCCCCAATAGCGTGCCCTGATCCCCACATTCTAAAGTCATAGACGGGTATTTGGAGCTCTCTTTGATGTCGAAAGCCAATTTAATGAGGTGGTTGTGGGTTTTCTTTTCTTCCGTAAAACAGAAGCCTCATTTTATTGAGAGCTGAGAAATTCTTACCCTCCCTCCTCTTCTGTCCCGAGATTCTGGGAACTGGAGGCTCAGGCTCGGACCCCCAACAAAGTGACACAGATGTGCTTCGTTAAGGAAGAAAGGAGGCTCACTCAAAGTTCCTTGTGGCTGGGTCCGTTGTCAAGAACTTTTTAACCACCCACTTTAGAGATAAAAAAACAGAGGCTTCAAGAAATGATGTGAGTTGTTGTTACGTAGCCCTGAGTCAGAACCATCTCGTAGCTGACCCTCCAGCAGATTTTCAAAGGCTATAAATAACATAGAAGGGGATTACCCGTCTTTTTTCCTCAGAGCAACTAATGGATTTGCACCACATACCATTATGTTGGCAGCACCATTCCTTACCACCAAGCCACCAGAGCTCCCTGTGAGTTGCTGTCGTTGTTGTTAGGTGCCATTGAGAATGACTCATTGCGACCCCATGTACAACAGATCCTGTGCCTTCCTCACCACCTCTGATAGAATTTTTGTATCAGTTTTGAGCCCATTGCTGCAGTCACCTTGTCAATCAATCTTGATGGGGGTCTTCCTCTCTTTTGCTGGCCCCACTTCAGCCCCTGGCCCTACCCCTGCTTCTGCCCCAAGTTACACTGCTGCTGCCAGTGACCTCCCTCTGGGCCTCAGGCATCTTAGCTGTAAAATGGAAACAGTGTTCGCTGACGGGAGGAATAATGAGCTCTCTTAATAAAGAGCTCCATGTCAAAACAATTATCAAGGACAAAGTCCACTGTAGAAGGAGGGAATATTTCTATTTTTATTGTTTATGTGTCAAGAGGCAGTTTACCCCTAGGATTCACACTGGAACACATTAATTAGCATCGCTCTAGGGCATTTATTAATGAGAAGGCAGGACCATCAGGGAGCTCAGTGTGTGAATTCTTACTGAGCAAAGTGGAGCAGGCAGAAGGGGTGGTGTCCAGGCAGGAGAGTCTGAGGCATCCAGCACCCACCCCACGCGGTTCCTCTCTTCAGAGCCAAGCCCCAGCCTTTCCTGCACTCTGAGTTCCAGATGTGCCCTGACGAGCTTTGGCAAAGGCCGCCTTGATTTCTTGGTTTATGAGGTCCTGCCAGGGATCACTGGGAGAAAGAGACAAACAATCAGTTAAAACATCACCTCTGGCAGTGAAATCCGCCCCCCTTTCACTTTGTGTCTCTTAGCCCCTGCAATAAGCCTAAGGTGGTGTTCCCTTTCAACTTTGAGGACTGAGGCTCAGAGAAGGGAATTGTCCTAGCTGAGACCACATAGTACTTTCTACCTTGTCTGCATGTGCAGCTTTGAGCCAGTGACTTCTCAGGAGGCAGGTGAAAACCTCAGTCTGCCTCTTTCCAGGATGTGACTCTGGGGCACCTGAGGTGGTGGGTGAGAGGCTCAGGAGCTCTCTGGGCATTATGCAAATTCTAAGTGGGGTCTCTGGACTTTCACCTTACAATCACTTTCATTTTCTCATTTGCTGCCCACAGGTGTTCAGGGAAAGTTGATAAATGCCACTGAGAGCCTGACTCAGAGTGGCCCCACGTGACCAAGTACAGGAACAGCTCACCACATCCTTCCCCCACTGAGCCATTGAGTAGGTTCAAACCTCCAACCTTTTGGTTAGCAGCCTAGAGATTAACTGTTGCTCCACCAAGACTCTTTTTGGAGAGAGAGATAGAGCTGAGTAATGGATGTGATTGTTCCCTACTGAAAAAATAGACTGACATCTTAGTTAACATCTGGGATTGAGATTGTCAACAGCTTCAGTTTGCTTGGCTCTACAATCAACACTCTTGGTAATCAGGAAATTAAAAGAAGAATGGCAACGATAAAGTCTGCTGTCAGAGACCTCTCCAAAGTACTAAAAAGCAATGATGTCAGTCTGAAGACTAAGGTGTGCCTGATACAGGTCATGATTTTTGCAATTTCTTGCTATTCACCAGAGAGCTGGACAATGACTAGGGATGATAGAAGAAGAGTTGATGCCTTTTAACAGTGGTGCTGGAGAAGAGTATTGAATATACCATGGATTGCCAGGAAAACCAACAAGTTTGTCCTAGAGAGGGTTAAACCAGGCTACTCCTTGGAGACAAGGATTCTGAAGCTTCATCTCACATACTTTGGACATGTTACAAGAAGGGACCAGTCCTTGGAGAGGGACATCCTGCTTAGAAGTTTGGAAGAACAGTGCAAGAGAGGAAGACCCTCGATGAGATGGATTGATTCAGTCACTGGGGTAATGGAGATAGGTATATCAAAGACAATAAGATTGGCAAGGGATAGAGCAGGGTTTAGGGCTATTGTACATAGGGTCGCTGTAAGTTGTAGGCAACTCGATGGCACATAACAACAACAACAAATATATAAATGTGACCTTGTTTGGGGAAAAGGGGTCTTTGAAGATGTGTTTGGTCACCATGAGATTGTAGGTGGTTCCTAATCCAGTATGAGTGATGTCTTCACAAAAGAGAAGAGACACAGTCAGAAGGCCCCATGTGAGGAGGAGACAGGCTCCCCTCTGACTGGCACTGAGAGGGTGGGAGAGATAAGAAAGAATCACCCCCAAAGCCTTGTTGAAAGTGAAAGCTCAGCCCAGCTGAAACTCTGACTTTGTACATGACCGTCCAGAACTGTGAGACAACACATCTGTGTGGTTCCCAGCCACCCACTTGTGATGCTTTGGGATAGCAGCCCTAGGAGACTAATGCGAGCTGGGGCATTGCCTTCACAGAGTCAAGCACAGGCTCCAGGTGACAGCTTGGCCTCACAGAGACCTGGCAGGGGTAGATGCCAGAGAAAGGGCCACTGTTCCAAGAGTCTCTGTGGCTTGTGGAGACACTCCTATGTGCACGGCTTCATAGGAGAGCGGGGCATTTGTCCCCTTTCCTGATCTACAACAGCCTCCCAAACACCCCCAGATTTTAAAAATAGGCTCAAATTAATTTCTGCAGATATAGAAAATAACCTAGAATGAGAATAAAATGTATCTTTAGGAATACTTCTTAAGAAAACAAACAAAAAGTAGCTAGAACACACAATTCAAGTGAAAATTTAGTAACTGCCTGTGAACACAAAACAGATTCCCCTCCACCAGCACTGAGAACCAACGAGCCGTCTCCAGATTGTGTGTGTGTGTGTGTGTGTGTGTGCGCGCGCGCGAGTTCGCCTGTGATCTCTTTCCAGGCGAGTGGCGGGCGTGTGATGCTGTTGCCATGTGTATCTGATGGTCCTGATGAGTACTGTGTGTGCACGTGTGTGCGTGCGTGAGCCACACCTCCATGAGTTTATAAGCTCTCGTGTCTAGGTGTTTTGACAGGCAGGTTCTCAAGTTAAGTGGTGCTCATTGGGGCTAACCTTCAATAATCACCTCCCTCCCTGAGCAGAGAAGATGGAAACATCTCTGGCACCTTCTAAAGTTTCCACCCAGGAGTGGAAAAATCATCAGCTGAAGAAACTGGAGATGACAAATGGCCGCCAGATCCCCAGTTCCAATCACAGGATGGGGTGGCCAGGAGTGCTGGAGACTGGGCTTCCTACCACCTACACAGAGAGAACCCTGCTGGCTTTAGTTTCTGTTCCCTATGCGCTGGTCACTGGTGGACCGCCAGGTAGTGCACTAGCTATCCGGGATCTCACGAAGCTTACATGTCTGGGAAATGTCCCAGCAGCATGTCCATGAGTATTATCAGGCTACAGTTATTTCTATGTGCTACAAAAACCACAGGGAGCCCTGGTGATGCAATGGTTAAATGCTTGACTGTTGATGAAAAGGTTGATGGTTTGAGTCCATTCACTCATGTCACAGGCCAAAGAGCTGGTGGCCTGTTTCTATAAAGATTATAGCCTAGAAAACCCTCTGGGGAAGTTCTATTTTGTCACATAGGGCCACTATGAGTAAAAAAAAGAAATCTGTTTGATAGCACTTAACAACAACGTGGAGACCACAGTGCTGAGAGATGGGCTAGAGGGTGACAGCAGGAACTGGGCATTTGAAAACTGTATGATAGAAAGAGACCTGGCCTGCAAAGGATAAGCACTCGGGGTCCAGGGAAGAGCATGAGCAAGGGCCCTGGGGTTGGCATGTTTTAAGGAATAGTGAAAAAGGCCTAGAGCAGGTGATGAGTAGGGGGAGGTGAAGAACAAGAGGCCAGACCCTGCAGGAATTTTGCAGCTGCATGAAGAGCAGTTGGAAGAGAATTGGGCTCTCACATAATTACTAGAAGGGCCCTTGGAGCCAAGCCCCAGGAAGAAAAGGAACCAAGGTACACCAGCAGTCAGTGCCCAGGCCTGAGCCCTGTCCTCACACCACGCTGCTCCCTCAGCACCAGCTCAGGCACAGACTGTCTAAAAGCTGAAGGGCCTAGGCTGGGGGTACCTCTTGGTAGGCATAAGTTGGTTGTGTATCCAGGAGGTTGTTATGCCCTTGTTTATATGCAGTCTGTGTGTTCTATACCCTGCAGGCTCCTTTGTGTGCCAGTCTGCCCATCTCTCCCTTTCTGTCCTCCATCCCTCCCTGGAATCCATTGTGTGTGGGGCACTCAGATGAATGAACAGGAAAATCTCTGCCTTCAGCATTGCTCTGTCCCCTGTTCTCTAGGGTCCCTGAACTTGAGGCAGCCTGATATCTGTGCAGAAAGGTAATTATGACCAGCTTTCTGTGTTTGCCCCTTGAATGACGCTTCAGCTCTGGTCACCTTCCCAGGATGTCCACATGTATCCCACACAATAGAAGGGGACATCCTGGGAATGCTTGGAGGAACCAGTCGGAAGTCCCACTGAAGGGGAAAATCCAGACAAGATGACAGCAAACTTGGACTCAGGCTCACACCCTGATATAATCATGCTGTGGGACTCCAGGAGGCCCTGCCCATCTCTGGGTGCAGCCTCCTCATGGGTGGGATAAGCTTATTGGCCTCCGAGGTCCCTGAGGTCTTTCTGCTAGAAATGACCCTGTTGTTCGCAACAGTTGGCAACATCTGTGCTCCTTGAGCCCCACCTGCTGGGACTGTCCCTACTACGGAGGAATGGTGTGAGGAACAGTACATTGGAGTAAAACAATATAACTGTCCCCTTAGGGAGGAAATTGGGTTCCAGAAGACATAGGGAGCTCTGGTGGTCTAGTGGTAGAAAGCTGTGCTATAATCCCAAAGGCAAGTTTTTTAATCCACCAGCTGTTCTGTGGAAGAAGGATGTGCAATCTCCTCCTGTGTGATTTACTACTTCTGAAAACCTGCTGGAGGGTCAGCTATGAGTTGGTTCCAACTCAATGGCACACAACAAGAAAAAGACATAGGAAGGGCTGAACTCTGCTGGCCAGGTACAAGCTCTCTTTTTTAGAGGCCTCTAAAATGTGGGAGGAAGCCCTTTGATCTATAGATTTCTGGTCTAAGGAAATTATCTGAATGTTGACAAATGCACAAGAGTAGTTATCAGTTGAGGCCTAGTCAGCTTAGCATACAACGCTTCTAAATGCTCAATATAAGAGAAAGATTGGGCACTTCATGGCATGCCCACATGTTGCAATGCTGAGACAATCACTGTGCATGTTTACAATGTGCTCCAAGCAATTTGGGAAGGTGCTCAGGACACCAAGTGGAGAGCGCAGATCAGAATGTAAGAAGATCTCATCGGAGCCAAAGGCCTTAGAAACAGGCTGAGAGGAAAGATGCTGAAAATGTTAGAGTGGTGGTTTCTCAGGAGTGAACAAAGAATGGTTGTTTTCATCTTTGAGCAATTTTGAATTTTCACTCTCATTGCTGTCGAGTCAGACCCACTCACTGCTGACCCTTGAGTGGGCTGTAAATCACAAGGGAGGAGATTGCCCATCTCTCTGCATGGAGCAGCTGGTAGATTTGAACTGCCAGAGAAGAGTTGGCTTTGGGATAGCAGTGCAACTCCCTATAGTCTACATCAGAGCTCTTTCCACACCAGCAAGTAATACTTCAGTTGTGATAAAAATTAATTAAACTAGAGAACATTTAAAAAAAAATCTAGATTTTTGGAGAACTCCACTTTCCTCACCAAGAAACTCTGGTGGTGCAGTGGATTAAGTGTTGGGCTGCTAACTAAAAGGTTTGAATCAATCAGCCACTCTGTGAGAGAAAGACGTGGCAGCCAGACCCAAAAAAGATTTAGAGCCTTGGAAACCGTGTGGGGCAGTTCTACTCTGTCCTGTGGAATCACTGAGTCAGGATGAATGGCAGGGGATTTTCACTCACCCAGGCTTGATCTCCATTGGTGTAGGAAGGGGTCTGGAGAAGCCGGCCTTCCCTGACAGCCAATAGGTTTCCTCTATGCCCTTTCCCTGAAGAGAGAGCAGAGAAGGGTGAAAGGCCTCTCCCCATGCAATCTCCTTAGGCTGAAGAGCAAAACCAGAGCTGCGTTAATTCCATTATCTCAGGTGGCGGAGAGGCTGCAGTCAAACTGTCTGGGTTCAAATCCTATCTCTGCCACTTGACTAACTGTGATTTTGGCCAAGTGACGTCACCTCTCCACATCTTTACTTTCTCAGTACCTCAGAGAGTTATTGAACATGTTAGGATTGAATACATTAATATTTAGTTGTTTTTGTTCTTGTGTACCATCAAGTTGAAACTGACTCATAGCTGACTCTCCAGCAGGTTTTCAGAGGCTGTAAATAGCAGGGAAGAGATTGCCCATTTTTCTCCCGCAGGGCACCTGGTGGATTCAAATTGCATGTCTTTGAATTGGCAGTGCAACTCCTTACCACTAAGCCACCAGAGCTCTCTATTTAACTGTTAGGCCAATAACTAATGAATCCTGAATTCCAGAACTGAAATCTGCGCTGTTAGGATCCCAGGATTTTTTTTTTTCATAATTTAATAAACTTTATTCTTGTTAGGGGAAGAGGGAGGGGGAAAAAAGCCACCTACTCCACTCCTCTTAATAAATTAAGTAACACACGGCCAATTCCCGTGCCCTAGCAAACCTTGGGCACTTGAACCAGTCCCGCTGTTTCCTTGCGGCCCAGTCTGCTTCCCCTTCACAGAAGGGAATTTTTCCTACTGCTGCCAGGCTGTGTCATGACCATGGACCACATCCCTTCTGTGGTGAGAATCCATGGCCCAAGAGGATGTAGGAGGCAGCAGTAGCAGCCAGGGAAAGGAGGGAGGGAACGTTCTTCCTCACAGCTCAGGGCAGAGGAGTCCTGGAAGAGCTGTGGCTTTTCTCCCTCCACAGATTCCCCAGTGTGCCACTTACAAACTTCAGACAAATGCATCCCTCCCCTGGGGATAATCAGTGCTCAACAGAACTCCTAGAGCTGATGAGGCTCACAAGACCCCAAATCAAAGGCAACAGACTAAGGAACACACATGGCTACAAGGGCTGGAAATGATTGCTCAGAGGAGGAAAGAGATGCCTTAGCAGCCTTCCCATCTAGTTCTAGAATCTCTGCCCTGCCCCTGGGGATGCCCCACTAGCCACCAGCCTTTCCCTCAGTCTTCTTCCCTCCTGCTGAACATACTCTATGCCCCAGGTGCTCTCAGGGCCAGTGAAGGGTTTCTTGGTGCTGCTCCTCACACCCTGTGGGATGACAGAGTGCAGGGCCAAGGAACCTGGGCTCCTCTTTGCTCAGGAAATGGAAGCTCTTTGGTCAGTCCTAGTAGCCAGAGGCCCTCCCCACAGGCAAACACTTCTGCCATTTTCCTGGATGATCTGCCTCAGGCAAGGCCCGCACTATGGCTTCAGAGAGATGGTGCAATCCCTGTACAATAGACTAAGTGGCTTATTCTACCACTGCGGCAACCTCCTCTTCCTCACCCTCCTCCTCCGTCTCCGTCTTGATCTGAGCCACTCCCAGGCGGTAGAGTGTGTCCCGGATGACCACCTCACCAGGCTGGCAGCTCTGCACAATGTCGTGGATCTGCCGGTTGACAATCTCCCGGCTGGTGAGGAAGTCTATGAGGCGGTTGTAGAGGTAATAGTGGGTGGCATTGTCAAAGGCAACAGGCCGCTGGCGAATACTGTGTGGTTTGCTATCTGCCATGGAAGCCAGGATGTTGGTGTAGGGTGCCAGCTCGGGGCACAGGGTCAGGGAGTGGTGCTCTGCACTGGGGTCGCCAGGACTGGGCTGTGTGTCTGCATCGACAATGTGCCATGTGGCCGTCTTGGTGACTGGATGCTGGACAGAGTGCTCCGATTCCGTCATGTCCACGGTATAGTGCTGGTCCAAGAGCTCTGGGCAGGATACACTCACAGGTGGCTCCATGGGGCTGGAAAAACAGCCCTGGTTCCTTCCCCACATCTGGTTGGTCAGCTCTGGATAGCAGAGGTCAGCACACAAGGCCACAGGGCTGGCCATATCTACCACGTAGACAGGGGGCCAATGGCGGGAAGAGGCAAGCAGATCTACATGGTCACGGGCACTCTCGCCTCGAACAAGGTACTTAGAACCACATACAACCTGATGGGGGCACACTTTGTAGATTTTACCCCCTGTGAGATGAGGTGGGGGCTGTCTAGCTCTGGCTCCATTCTGTACAGATTCATAGAGGGCCAACAAGGAGAAACAAAGCTGGTCCTTGGAGTCTTCCGCTCCAAAGGGGATGCTGCACTGGCCCAGCAGATGCCGCAGCTCTTCCTTACTGTAGGAGCCAAGGATCCCAGGATTTTGTGATACGTGCTTCATTACAACTGTCACCACCTGGCAGCCTCTCCTGAGATAGAGACACAGCTGTCCAGGAGCTGGGAGTAAAGGGACGTGAGTGGCACTGTGGTGAGGGCTGGCCAGTCTAGAGACTCCATATCACATCCCAGGCAGCACGTTCAGGAGCGGTGCTGCTCTTTGGAGGTCCCTAGGTTAACCTGCACCTAAGGTCAGAGTTCTACCCTCCATGTCCCTCTCTGCCATCACCATCCTGTCCCCAGGAGTCTCAGTTCACAGTCTCTTTAATAAGACCCACCTGCCCTGACTGCCCCAGCTCTCTTCCCCATGACCCAGGCCACTCAGAGAAGAGTCCCACATATGCCTGCCCTTGCTGGGTGTGTGACCATGGACAAGTCATTGCCCTTCTCTGAGCTGCACATCACTGCTGTTCCCCACAGTGTAATGACCTGAGTCCCAGGGGCTCCCAAATTCTGGAGCCCAGTGAAGCTCTAGGTCTCTAAACGCTGGAGTGGCTCCAGCATCCCACCAGGCCTGCTTGTAGCTGAGAAACTGGAGAATGGGAGGGAGTTGGCTGGGAAGAAAAAGGTTTCTTAGTAATATATTGCCATGACCTTTATCAAACATCAACAAAGAATGCAGAGGTTGTGCAATGAGGTTATTGGAAGCTTGTTGTCTGAGGTATTCATAAATAAGTACAACCTGAAGTTGCACTTACAACACCGATGGCTGCTCATGGGACTGGGAGGTATACAGAGAAGCATAATAGTCAATGTTGGGGGAAAGGTGGAAGGAGGATGAGTTGAGATTAGAAATAATTGGTTTTCTGGCTAGGGTTCTGAGGGTTGAATAGGAGCCCAACAGTCCTATTGAAACAGCACAGGCTTTGAGACCAGGGCTATAAGTTCTATGACTTTTTAAAAAATTATCTTTGCTTGTTTGTACTGTCAAATTTTATCTGACTGGTACAGGAAGAGATTGTCCCTCCTTCTCCAGCAGAGCATCTGGTGGACTTGAACTGCGGACCTCTGGGATTGCAGTGCAGCTTCTCATCACTAGGCCACAAGAGTTCAAGTTTTATGACTTTTGACAAGTCACTTGGCCTCTCTAATTTTGTTTTTTTATCTGTGAAATTAGGACAATGATCTTCCTTCCATAATTACTATGAGTGATGTACACATTAATTTATGTTGTGTGCTGGCAGGCTGCTCAGAAATCATCAACAGAAGTGATTTCTCTGTCCTGGCGCTTCTCCTCACAAGGAGCCAAGTAGGGAGTGGCTCTCAAGAAGAAATGTTTCTTTAGGATTTGAGGACTGCGGGGCAACAGAGAAGCCATACAAAAGCATTCTGCTCCACCGCAACTCTAGGTAGGCTTTCCTTGAACCACACCAATCAGATGGAAACCTCTCCTATCATCCATAGAAACTGGACTGAGACTTTCCCCATAAATCCCAGAAAACAAATTCTCTCACCTTCAGCTCAGTCTTTCCTCTGATGTCGATTTTGTAGCCTTCATCCAAGCTAAGCAATGTCTGGACAGTGTTTCGACTGACGTGAATTCTGTATGCTAAGAAGAAAAGGGATCAAGTCAGCACCTGGCAGCAGTGGACTTACTGTTTGGTAAAATCATTACGGGTCTATAACACTCCCACTTCCAGTCAATCACATGTACAATTTGGTTTCCACAATATCCTTCTTCTGGCCTTCTCACCCTGTTAACAGATAGTTGGTCATGAACATAGAGATTCCCGGGAAAGCAAAGTGAATATATTGAGTGTTATGGGAATGCAGAATAAAGCCAGAAGCCCTGGTAACATAAATTCACTTGTAGGGGAGGCTCTGAAGACAGAGTCAGTGCACGTAAGCCGTTCTCAAATTCTTTTAAGAGTAGAACTCTTTTTTGAAGTCCCCACAAGGCAGCCACATTTTGTACTGAACATTCAGGAGCAAACAAACTAGCAATCTAGAGACAAATTTTGTCTTAGACCCTCAACCTTTGCAGCTCCTCAACCAAGCCATCAGAGTAGCGTCTGCCTAAAAGGGCATTCCAAACAAATTGAGAAAGCAAGATAAAATGAGAACAAAGACTGGAAAGATGGGGAAACCAAGGCCCAAAGGAAAAACATTTTGTTGAATACCACTAAGCCAGCCAGTTTTCCTGCCTCTTGAGTCATTGCTGTCTCGATGAATTGCAAACATGACAGTGGAAAATGAAAAAGACCATTGACATGCATCATCTCCTTAAAGCTGCATTATTGGCAGCTAGGGTTCGTTGGCACCAGGTGGTGATTTGGTTACTACGCACTGTTTCAGAGGTCATGGAGAAAGAGGGTAACTTCCCTCTCAGAGGGACAGAATGATGAGCTTACTCACGTAGGCCTGTGGACTCCATCCGGGAGGCAGTGTTGACAGTGTCTCCAAAGAGGCAGTACCTGGGCATGGTAAGGCCCACGACCCCTGCCACACAGGGCCCTGCAACCCAATAGGCCCAGTAAGCTCCAGCAGGCCCTACATCAAAGTGAGGTCCTGCGACAGCCTTTATCTCCCCACCCCCAGCCACACCTCATACTGCCCTTTTCCACCCTGCATCTTGGACAGAAGCTTGAGGGTTGAGGATGGAGTCGTCTCAATGGACAGAGATGGTGATTCCTGTACAGATGCTGGATTGAGATGTAAACTGTGATCTCTGCTGTGTGAGGGAAGTACCAAGACTGTGCTAGCCCAGAAAAGGGACTCTGGCTCAGACCGGAAGACTTCCTGCATGCAATTCATGAGCTCTGTCTAGAAAGATGGGAAAATGGGTGGGCAGGGAGAGCAGGTTCAGAGCCCATGTGTCCATGGGAAAGGGCAAGCGGTGACTACGCACAGACAGCTAGATGGGGAGTGCTAGCAGATGAGGTCAGAGAGGTTAGCGAGGACCTCGAGGGCCACCTTGGGTAACCTGGACTTCATACCCTAGGAGAGGGAAACTATGTAGGGTGAATGGGGTGGGGTCTGGTCATGAGAAGAATATATTAGTGGCCTTGAAGTTTCTCCCAGACCCATATCAGCAGACATTTTTGTTCTGTTTCTATCTTGACTATGCTATCAGCTATGGACCCCTCAACATGGACTTGACAGGTGCTGAGACAAAAAGATACAGAAAGAGGCGGAAAGAGACAGGGAGAGAGAGAGATATGCAAATAAGAACAGTGAAGATTCTCTTCTTTGTAACACCTTGTTGTCACGTGCTGTCGAATCAGAGCTGACCCACCAGCAGGTTTTCAGCAGATTTTCCACCCATGGGAGGAAACTGACCATCTTTTTCCCTGAGGAGCAGCTAGCTGGTGGATTCAAACCATACGCCTTTGGGTTACCAGACTAACTCTTTAACCGCTAATCTACCAGAGCTCCCGATAACATGTTGTTGTGTACCTTAGAGTCAGAACTGATCCCAGCTGACCCTTTAGTATGTTTTCAGGTGCAGTTAATTGCATGGGAGGAGATTGTCCATCCATCTCCCACAGGGCATCTGGTGAATTTGAAACACCTGCCTTCAGGACTGCAGCGCAGCTTCTTCTCATTAGGCCACCAGAGTGCCCAGTTATATCTTAGAACCTTAAAATAACTGTATTTTTTTCCCTATCAAACATTCCATCCCTATCAAACACTGCCTCATAGGTCTAGACTGCAGGAAGGGGAGGAAGTTGTAGAAAGTTCCATGGGGATCGCTCATCCAGACTGCTTTCCCAAGTTTCTACAGATGATACCTAACCTTTCACCTCCTGGTTTCTCCAACTATCTATCTCTCAGTTGAATCCAAACTGGAAGGGAGAGTACGATGCCTTAGAGTTTTAGAATCTCAGAATTCAGGAAACACACTAGTCGGGGAAAGCCAGCCAGTATGCCAGCGAGGGGAGGAGGGATGGTCTGGCCCGTCACCCCGTGGCCCCAGTCGGTACCTGAGTGCAGCCCAACTCTGATGTGAATGGGCACGTCGGGAGCATGCTTCATCCGGAAGTTGCCAGCAGAGCTAAGGATGTCCAGTGCCATATTGGCGATCTCAGCTGCATGGCGGCCTCCATTGCGCCGGGGAAGCCCCGATGCCACCATGTAGGCATCTCCGATGGTCTCCACCTAGAAACCACAGCCTTCACTGGCGAGCATGGGAGCCCACTCCCTCTGGCCTGCTCCTTATTCTGTTCAAGGCTACCTCTTGGGAGCACCTGTGCTCTCCAGACCATAGTGCCTTTTCTGCCAGATTCCAATTTCAGGAACTTTAGTACAATTGGATTGTAAATTTCAGATCAGTTTTGTCTATACTGTACATAACCATGGTCTTTCTTATGTCCTTTACCCCCACCCCACCCCAGTCAACCTGGCCTCGTCATCTGCATAATTCCACAGAGACAGAGCAGAGCTCTGCTGGGGAAAGTGCAGATGGTTTCAACACCTCCCATATTCCAAAGCCTTTTGGCCCTTCCTGGTGCACCACAAAGAATGCAGGCTTTGAAATCAGATGCAGATTCAAAACCAGACACTGTCATTGATCTTGAACAGACCACTTTCCATATGTGAGTCCCAGTTTCTTCTTCTATTGAGTAAATATTAGAGGTGAAACAGCCAGAGACATATCACTGATGCTCAGTTAGTCGAGGCTGATGTCTTTATCATCATCATTATCCTTTTCTGTTGTGCTCGTTATTATTTCCTTCGCTAGTATGTTTAGATAAGACAGAATCAGAATTGGGACTTTACAGACTACCCCCTCTACCTCCCAGAGCCCCAGTGGCTGCCTGACTGGCTCACACCCCTAGGAAGCTCCCTCCTTTGTGAGGCAGCTGCTTCTCTCTTTAGAGAACGCTTATTTCCAAAAGTTGAATTGAATCAAAATGTGACATTTCACCTGCTGCTTTCAGTTCTGCATCCTAGATTTCAACCCTTTCTTGAACACTCTCTGCTCCAGCCTCTCTTGTAGGCACTGGGGATCCGGCTGTGAATGAGCCATGGCCATCTCCTCGCCCACAGAGCAGTCCAGCCAGGGGAAGATGAGGACTCGGCTCCCCTCCCCACCTTTTCCCCTCTCCAGGGGAGTTCCAGCTCACACACTCCCCCCCCCCACAGCTGCCACCAGCATTCCCTGCTCCCCATCTCCCGCCCACCCCATGCCTGGGGTGGTTTACTCTCTGGCAGCCACTTCTTTCCTCTAGCACTGGTCAGAAGCTCACAGCACGTGCTATAATTCACTAAATGCCTTCTCACCGACTATCCCCTCCTGCCTAGGGGCTCTGCTCCTCACGGGGGCTGTTCTTTACCCCCTCCTCCAGGAAGTCATGTCCCCTAATCACATGAAGTCTCACTCAGACACCTGGGTTTGGTGGTTACAGTCAATGGTTTAAAATGTACACAAATGACCTGACATAGGAGGGCTTCCTGATAGCTGAGACTTCCTGATCTATTTCCCTGGCAGGTGCCCCCAGCTCTCCGGCTGCAGTCCCTCTGGAACCCCCTCCATTTCCCATTCACCACAGAAACACTCAGCACTTGGTCCCTTCAGGCCTTGATCGGGGCCCTCTCCCTACAGTGCTCCCCTGGGCTCTGTCTATTGAAATCTAACTCCTCTCTCTGGTAGGCTGTCACTCGATATAGTCTATAACCTTCCTATCATCAACCATGAGCAATGATGCTCTTCCTCAGGACTGTCACCTCCTGTTCCCCCTTGTCTCCAGCACAAGCTCCAGTAAGCTGGCAGGTAACACGATGAGGTAAAGGTCATCAGGTTACCCCACTGTGGAGGTTCCCACAGGAAGGAGTGACTGTCTAGTTCATGGTGATGGGGGGAAAAAAGATGATAAACCACTGCCTTTCTCTCTGTCCCTTCTTCTGTCCAAGAGAAGAAGAACACCTTGTTCAACTGGTGAGATTTGGAAGAACTAAGGTCTAACAATAACAACAACAAGGTCTAAATACTGCTGTGTTAGGTGTTGCTCTGCTAACTGAAAGGTCAGCAGTTCAAATCCGGCAGCCACTGCATAAGAGAAAGATGGGCAGTCTCTTCCCATAAAGATTTCCAGCTTCAGAAGCACAAACGGCAGTCTCGAGGTGTAGGAACCAGCTTGACAGCAGTGAGTATTTACTAGGTTCCAGATACCATTCCAAACCTTTTTATTTATTCCACAAGACTCCTGAGAGGGAAGTACTGATGTCATTGCCATTTTAGAGTTGGGAACAAACACAGGACGTTAAGCTGCTTGCCAAGGTCACATAGCACAGTGAGTAAATGGATTTGAACTTTTTCAGTCTGGCTGCAGAGCCCTGTTATGGCAGATTTGCCAGCTGTGTGTAGTTTTTGCTCTACTCAGGTCCTGCACATGATCAGCATGAGTGTGTTAGGTCCTGGACTTGCCTTCTGGAAGCATCTCTGGAGACCTGTTGCTCTCCACCCTGCTGTGGGCCAGCAGGTTGGCCAGCCTGCAACTCAGGGTGGTGCCCTGCGCGGATAGCCAGCTCGGCCTCAGGTGAGTGCCCCCGGCCCAGGCCAGGTGGGCAGGGGGACTAGCAGAAAGCGCCATGGTGGCCATTCAGCCAGGAAACCCTCTGTCCGAGCAGACACCTAGCCCCACACCCACCTGACGCCTTTGTCTATCTCCTAGTTGGTTCCTAACTGGAAGGGAGAGAGTGTTGACATCACAACCAAAGGCAGTAAAAGAGCAGGACACAGGCCTTGCTCCATGGGAGCTGGGACTCATAAAGGCAATGCTCTCAAGGACACAAAACAGTGCGTGCTCTGTCACAAGATGGGAGTTCTAATTATCACTGCCATGCTGTGTGACCTGGGACCAGTCACCTTCCCTCTCTGAGCCAGTGGAGCTCATGATCCATCTCTGAGCAGCCTTGAAAACATGAAAAAAGAGCTTCTGACAATCCCTAGGTCTGGCCCGCCCTCTTCATAACAAATGCCAGTGTCTCTCCGTGCCGTGCCGTGTTTTCAGGGAGGCCTCAGTCCTCTGGGACATGGCAGGTGTGCAGCTGGATGGATGGCTGGCTGAGTGGATGGATGGATGGATGGATGGATGGATGGATGGATGGATGGATTAAGGACAGCACTTCCCCTCACATACCTAATCTACAGAACAATCCTAAGCAGTAAGCCTTTTCATTCCTGTTTTATAAATCAGGTATCTGAGGCTCAGAGAGACAAAATGATTTGCCCAGGATTCCACAACACAAGGACTGAATTGAGAGGCCTGGGCGGGGGGTCTCCTCTCCTGCAGCCCACAGGGGCTCTGCTCTGAAGTTATGCCCATAAAAGTGCTAACTCAGTGAATGCTGCAATCCTCAGACTCCTACCGAACCAGGAAATGTTTGCCTGGCTGCCTCCCAGCCCAGACCGGATTAAAGAGGAGTAACCCGATTCCATCGGGGCTAGAGGGGAAACCGAGGCGGCCAGCATGAGTGATGAGAGACTCACACATGAGGAGGAGCAGGCCGCCCCTTTCCCCACATCTGGACGGGTGTGTGGGCCTTGTTTTCTTTCATTGCACTCTGCCAGAGAGATGCAGACCTCTTGGCCGGAGTTCAGAGCGCATCAGAAGGCGTGATTCAGAGCTGGGAGGGACACATGTGTGAGAAAAGATTAGCAGGAGGGGAAGAGACAAGGCCAGGGGTGAGTCAGGGGCAGATCAAAGCTGTGGGGCTCAGAGAGCCAAGATGAGGAATATTTTCCTGGGGCCCAGGGGGCCTGGCAGCTCTGGAGACTAGAGGGAAACTCAGCCAGCACCAGTGACTTCTGAGTTGGAACTGCAGGCTGGGGTGAGGACTCAGGGTCCTGAACACGGGACCCAAGAGGAGCTCCTCCTTGTGATGGTGGAGGCTCAAGACGTGTGGGTCATGTTGTGTGGAGGGACACCATGGGCATTGCAGGGTCTAGCTCTAGCTGTCCAGGGGCATGTCCAGAGGGATCGCGCTGCTAACCCCAAGCCTGCATGTCTCTGCCGTTCAAATTCATCAGTAGCTTTAAGGGAGAGAGAGAGGGGAAGTCTCCTCCTTGAATGAGTTACAGCCTCAGAAATCCAATGGAAGGTTCTTATGAGTCAGAATTGACTTAACAGTGGTGAGGATTTTTTAGTTCTGGTCCTGCCATCTACCAGTCGTGTGCCTGTCGGCAAGTCATGCCCCTCTCTGAGCCCTGGTGTGGTGTGCTCCTTATCCACTTAACATGTATTTCCTGATAGCTTACTGTGTGCTGGACATTGCCAGGTACTGGGGACAGAATGGTTTAGGGTAGAAGTCATGTAGGACCTTAGTATAGAGATGCTGTCTGGGGGGACTTATGGGAACGTCAAACAGAAACTCCAGAGAGGCAAGAAAACTAACCCGAGGCCAACCAGGAAAAAGGAGGCAAAGTGGAGTTCAGGTGATGGGAACCACGTGAGCAAAGTCCTGGTGATTCAAGAGAGCAAAGTGTGTGTGAGAAGCACAGAGGTCTGCAAATGGGAAGGTGATGCAGGTCGGGACGTAGGTGGGACCAATTCCTGTAGGCCCCGTGGGCCCCATGGACCTCTGGCTGTATCCTGAGGGATTGTATGGTGAGACAGGGTCATGTGTGACCGTGGCTCAGGATTCCTAGAATCAAATATAACATCCACACCTCCCTGGGGATATTGTTAGACAAGTCACTTAACCATTATCTTTTCAATTTCCTCATCTATAAATTCAGTCACAGGTGATTTAATGGATTGATCGATACACAACTTAAATCAACTTCTAGTATACACTGAACACTCAATAAGTGTTGACAACAGTATCCTCATTGACAATTAGGGATAACAGTGCCTACCTCACAAAATTGTTACAGTGATCAAATGGCTTAATACATATACAACTTTTAAATCAACTTCCAGTGGACGATAAGGACTTAGTGTTGGCAATTATTGCTGGGATAATGTAAATAATGCTGCAGGCAGAGTACCTCACATCTCATAATGTTAGCTCTCTCCTCTGGAACTTCCTGTCCAGATATTTGTCCATACTGGCTGTAGCCTTTGGTCATGGCTTCCCCGTCCACGCCTCCCTGCACTTCTGTGCCTGGAAGGGGCTGGTGGGTCACAAGCAAAAACTAAGGTCAATGGACTTGAGTGTGACTGTTCTGAGACCTCCTTATCCTCCACTGCCCAAAGTTCAGCTCAGCTCCTAGAACAAGTGGCAGGGCAGGACAGAACAATTCCCAAAGCTGTGTGTGTAGAGCTGAAGAAGACAGGAAGCTCTTCACTCTCACTCCCTCGCTGTTGACCTAGAACTCCACATGAAGCCCAGGACCCTCCTACTAGTCTATGAACCGACAAGCAACAGAGTCCTTTTTCCCTGCTTTTCACATGGGAAGCAGAGCTCCAGAGAAGGGATAACATTTGCCTCTATGTCTCACAAAGCTGAGAGCAGGGATGGTGTCTCAGGATTGAGAATTGTGAAGGGCTTAGATCATGGATGGTCTTAAACACTCCATGTAGCCCTCTCCAGTGCACTCCCACCCCCTTCCTGTCCTCCCCACTGGTCCACTTCACGTTGAGCCATCATGACCCATCCAGCTGTCCTCTGGCCCTCTCTCTCTTTCTGATGGTGAATTATCATTATCATTTATCTGCACAGGATTGGCACAGAAAAGCCTCTCCACAAAAGCCTATTAAAAGGATAGATGATTGGACACCTGGCTAGGTGAACAAAGAATAAATGAACGTTGCAGCTAGTTAATTGTAAAACAGGCCTACACTCTCCCTCCTCCATTCACACCCTCTGCAATATAACACTGTAGTTCCTTCCACCAAGAGATGGGCTTTAGGTCTCTTGAATCTGGGCTGGTCTTATGACCTGAATTGACCAATAGAATGCATTAGAAATATCACTGTGTCCAAGACACGACTTAACTCTCAGGAGGTTTGTGTGCTCCTGCTCTTTCTCAGAGGCCTGTCACCACCATGGAAACCATCCTGTCTAGAGGAGGAGGGACCAATGAACCAGGGCTGAATTGTCCCAGCCAAGGCTCCAGAAATCTTGAGAGTCCAGCCAGGATCAATAGCGCTCTCCACCTCACCCACAGACGCAGGAGTGAGTCTGGTTCACTCAGATTCAGATTCATATCTTTTCAGGTGACCCACAGGCTTGTGAACAGTAATAAATGTATTAAGTCATTGAGCTTGAAGACAGTTTGTCACCTAACAATATTATTACAAACGCATAAATGATTAGATGGAAGACAAGGCATTGGAAACAAAGAGGAAGGAAGGTTGGATGAATGCCAGCTTCCTAGGACCCTCACCTTATATACATCATGGCTGCCCAGGACAGCATCGAACAAGGTATAGAGGTCGTTGAGGAAGCCAACCACCTCAATGGGCTCACTCAGGGCTGAGATGGTGGTAAAGCCCACAATGTCACTGAAGTATATTGTAACCTGGTCGAAGTACTCAGGCTCCACAGTTGCCCCCATTTTCAGAGATTCAGCCACGTACCTGAAGAGAGAGAAACGGTCAGAGTCACAAACTGGACAGATCTCTTCTTTACAATTTAGACGTGAAAGAGAGATCCTTGGGGGGAAAGCCCTGGGTGGGGCATCAGGACCTGCCCTTTCTCCTAAGAATATGAGACAGCAGACATTCAACATTTGTGGGCCCAGCCCAGCACAGCACCTAGTGCATGAGAGTCGTTGTTGGGTGCCATTAAGCCAATTTCACAACAAATCCATGTGACAGAGTAGAAATGCTCCCATAAGGTTTTGTAGGCTGTAATTTTTCATGGGAGCCAACTGCCAGGTGGAGCCACTGTGCAGATCCAAAGCCTCAACTTCATGGTTCCTAGCAGAGATTTAACTATTGTGTCATCAGGGCTCCTTAGGATGTGCAAAGGGCTCTATGAAAATACATTGTATGAATGGAATGGATTCTTGGAGCTCAGATATATTGAGCACCTGTGACATCTCGTGCTCAGAGCTGAGGCTGGTCTCCCAGGCCCCAGGGCCACTCACGGAGGGAGCATCTGTGAGAGCAGCCTTTCCGTCTTCTGTCTCTCCAGCTCCAGCTCCTCCGTCCGCTCCTGGACCAGGTCCTCCAGGTTCTGGGAATACTTCTCCAGCATCCGCAGCATAGAGTCGGCAACACTAGTCTTCTTGCCTTGGTTGATGCTTTTGAACTGAAAACAGAACAAAAATCACAGTTCATTTGCAAAAGGCCCCAGTCACAGGAGTGAACCATAGTCCCTTCCTGGGAGAGCTTGGGTGTGCTGAGAGTAGAGGCGTAAATAGACTGAGGAAGGCTCCACTGAGGGACAATTATAAGTACTGGGAGAAGGGTGGGCTACTTTTGTGTGAATGGGCAGCAGAGAGAGGATTTTACAAAGAAGTCTGTGCCAACCCTAAAGAAACCAGAACTGCCACCCAAACTGTGTTGTTCACAATAGCAAAGAGCTGGAGACAACCCAACTGCCTATCAACAAGCAAATGGATAGAGAAGCTGTGAAATACTCACACAGTGCAATTAAGTGCAATACTACATAGCACTGAAAAACAAGGAACTCATAAAATATTATACAAAATGGGTGACCTTGGAGAATACTATACTGAATGAAATATCTCAGTCACAAAAGGGCAAATATTGCATAATGCCACTGTTACAAAACAGAACTGACATGGATGTTGGGGAGAAATGAAGAAAAGAGGGGATAAATAATGTATACAGCACTGAAACAGATGAAGGAAAGAACTGTTTAAAAGGAATATATGATTAGCTATTATTTGCATGACAACAGTCCAGAATAAGAGGGGCATAGCAAAGTGGACTGAGGGGAGGGAGGAAATTGTGCAAAAATGAAATAATATTTTTAAAGAGAAAAGTGAACTGGGGAAGGGTGTAGGGAGGAAAATATACAACAATGAATGATTGGAAATCCAAGTTCTCAGTAAACTTTCATTTAAATCTCAATAAAAATTATATATATGTGTGTGTATATATATAAAAAGAAGCCTAAAAAATTAAAAGAAGCCTGTGCCCAGCATGTTATAATTTACAAACATGGAACCCTATTGTACCTATTCTCAGCACAGTGGAATATACCTTCATAGATAGATGATGATGATGATAGATAGATAGATAGATAGATAGATAGATAGATAGATAGATAGATAGATATTGTTGTTGTTGTTATGTGCCATCAACTCATAGCGATCCTATGTACAAAAGCTCTAAACCTGCTCTATTTTTGTCAATCTTATTGTCTCTAACACACCTACTGAATTCAGTCACTGAATCAATCCATCTCACCAAGGGTTTTCCTCTCTGGCACTGTCCTTTCCCTCCATCTTCCTAAGCATGACGTCCCTCTCCAAGGACTGATCCCTCCTTGAAACATGTCCAAAAATAGGTAGGTAGGTAGGTAGATAGATAGATAGATAGAGATAGATAGATAGATAGATAGATAGATAGATAGATAGATAGATAGATAGAATAAAATTGACAACGACTCTAAAGAGAGTTCTGGTAATTAAGTGGAAAAGAATTGTGCTGACAACCCAAAGACCTGCAGTTCAAGTCCACCAACTGCTTTGCAGGAGAAAAATTAGCAACCTCTTCCCATGTGATTTACTGCCTCTAGAAACCTGCTGGAGGGTCAGCTATGAGTCAGTTCCAACTCAACAGTACTTAACAACAACTAATGGTGAAATAGGAAACTTAGGGACAGTGAGTTTGTGTTCAAAGGAAAAGAATAATTTCAGACTGGTGAGAATGGATTTACAACTTGAAGAATGTCATTATTGTCACTGGATTATATATTTAAATATTGTTGGGCTGGTATATATCACCAAATGAATTTTTCTTTTTAAAAAAGAACTAGTTGCAAAGGCTAGCCAGCTCTGCAGACCACCTTCACAGTGACCACTGAAAGCCCATCACACCAGTAATGGCCAGCTCTGCGAAATGGAGACAAAATCCCTCAGTGCAGGTGGCCAGGTGATGAGAGAAGGGAGGGAATGTGGGAAGACTTTTCAAAAGACACCTGCGGGTTCTTTGACATCTGCTTTCCCTTCTCTTGTTCCTTCATCAGCTATCTGTATGCCCCCTCTTTCCTCACTCATTGAATCTCTCCTTGGCAACTTTCCCACTGTGGCTGGGAAGCCAAGGGCATCATGGGAGACATGAAGATGTCACCTGAGGCTTGACAGATTGGCCTTGTGGGAGCTGTTAGCCAGCTCAGTGAGGCTTACACACTCTACCATCACCTTGAAAACCTGTATCGACTTGCCTCGCCCCTCCCACGACTACCCCTCTCACAGCGTCAACTCAGTGACTCAGGGACCAGCACTCTCGTCAGCCACAGTGGTATCTGTTCAGCCTGGGCCTCCCAGCACCAACTCTGCAGACAGACAAGCCTGTGGTCCGATCCAGCCTTGCCTTTTATGCTCTTGGTTACCTCGAGCAGACCCCCTTACCACTCTGTGCTTCAGTTTCTTCTCTTTCAAAATCCAGATATTAACCATACTTCCTCACAGGGCTATCATGAAGTTTAAATGAAGCAAGCACAGGACTTGGCACGGGGTCTGGCTCTCAGCTAATGTTCCCAGAGTCTCTGGCTCTGAGGAAGCTGTCCTCAGAAAGAGAACCTGTCCTCAGGCTCCCTCAGGGGTGGTGGTCCTGGCCTGCTGTCTCTGACTGCACAGGGCTTCTAGACCTTCAGAGAAATCAAGGGATGTGAGCGCCTCAGTCTTCTGGAATGGATGCACTGACCTGGCTGTAGATCTGGTCCAGGCTGGGTCTGTCCTCGGGAGCCTCCTCCCAGCACTGCTCCATCAGCTGGATGCACTCAAGAGGACCGTGGTCAGAGGACACCAGAGGCCGGCACAGCGGAGGGGGTGATGCCACCTTTCTGATGATTTCTGCAACAAACACAACTGTAGGTGGTGGACTGAAGGCTACCAGGAGAGCTCCTGGAGTGGGCTTGCCTCAAACATCCTGTGTGGAGGCAGATAAAGGTGATGGATAAAGGTGCAGGGTTGACGTCTTAAAGACACTCCTCAATCCGCTATGGTCGGTGGATTTAGGGTTATTACATAGTGGGTACTTCCCTTGATCTGTGCCATAGTGTTGTTAGGAGGCAGGTCACAGAGCTGGGCTTACATTCCAGATCTGCTGTCACCTGCCCATGAGATGGTGGGCTAACCACTGACCTCACTGAGCCTCAGCCTCCCTTTCTGTGAAATAAGCTTAATAAGCCCTTCCTGCTTGGGAATTCTGGTGGTGTAGTCCATAGGCAGTTGCACTGCTAATCCAAAGGTCACATCTCTGGTGGTTCTCATCCATTAGTGGTTCCATGAGAGAAGACCAGGCAATAATTTCTATGTAAACACACTCTCAGAAACCCAATAAAGGGTCAGTGATGAGCTGGTTCTGACTCAACAACAGCTAGTTAGGAGAGATCCTGGCCCAGGGTGCTTAATGGGGAGATGACAGATGTTAAGTGCCTGGTACTTACATAGTAGGCTTTGGTCAGCTCCAGGACTTGCATGGACTGCTACAAGCTCCATGCCCAAGGATTCCTACCATAGTGCCAGAAGCATTTGATACTTTGGCTCTTTCTACCAGCCTTGCCAGTCGGAGACTTTATCACATCAGCGTCCCCCAAGTGTGAAGTAATACTGTCTACTGATTGTCATTACAATCATCATTTCCCCTAGAAAACTCCTTTCAAAGACCTTTCCGTCCCTACCATGTGGCAAAGACCACCAGTCTGAGTCCAGGCCAGACAGATCAATGTCCCCGTTCTGACTCTACTATTTGCTATTAGCTTCAATTTCCCCATCTAACAGATGACAAAGCTACTTTGCCCTGGGAAGTGGTTGGAGAGCCTGGATGAATGGAGACATTTGTTTTTGTTTTTGTTTTGTTTTTTTTGGGGGGGGGATATTTGGAAAAAAGTGTTAAAATTTATTAATAATAGTTAACATCACATAGTTAATTCAAGTAGTTACTTATAATGGAGACATTTGAGCACATACTGGAGTCAGCTAGATCAGGCTGGGACTTGTAGAATATCATTTTACGTTCTGCACAAGTTACATCGCCTCTCTGAGTTCCCATTTCCTGTCTATAAAGTGGGCATGATAATGGTACATATCTCACTGAGTTGCTATGAGGAGTAACTGATTACTGTCCTCTGAGCTGGAATTAGGGTAAGGAGGAGAGTAAATTCTTTCCAGATTTCAGTCTCCTTCCCAATCCTTTGTTGGCCTTTTTATTGGGCAGCGAGCACAGGCCTCGTCCCATTTTACAGACAGAAAACGAAGATTGTTAAGGTTCATGGATCCTCCATGGCTCCTGATGATTTAAAAGTGGATGCTGGAGTCCCTAAGTGGTGAAAGATTGCTTGTTTGAATCCACTCAGAGGTGCTTCAGAGGAACCTGCTTCCAAATCTACTTCCAAAATGTCATAGTCATTAAAAACCCTATGGAGTGCAGGCCAACTCTGTAACACATGGGGTCGCTGTGAGTGAGCACTCATTCAATAGCAATTAATTTGATTTTGGGTTAGAAGGCTTAATCAGTTCCCTGGCCTTTACTCTTTCCTTTGCCCTGAGGTTACCAGCCTGCAAGTCTCAGACCCCGAGGACCTCTGCATCAGGGTCTGGAGGGCTGTGTATTCTCACAAGGGGAGAGTGCAGATGGAAGCAATAATACATTGTGCACACATGTACAGCTGTTTCTCAAAAGTATGTGGATGATGTTGTGATGAAGAACAGACAAACCCATTCCAAAGTGTTGGCTGATTTCAGAGCAGATTTTTGTCATTGAGTATTTCCTCAGTCAGCGGATATTAAAAGACAAAGAGTAGTAGCACATGAGGCTTCAAACTCTTCTAACATTACAGTGGAGTCCTCCTCTGTGGACATGCTGAGAACCAGTACGCAGGCCAGGCCGGATCTCGTGTCCCTCCTGCCATGCCCCCTGTCAGCACCCCATGCATCATAGTGACTGACTGGGCACCATGACCGAGGGTGCGGTGGTAGATCCAGTTCTGAGGAGCCCAGCTGGGCTCTAGGAGAAACTTCCAAGGATGACATCAAAAAAGTGTTAGGTGCAAGAACATTGAACACGGATCAGGGAACTTCAGCTCAAATCCCAGCTTCACTGATTCCATGCCAAGTCCTGCTCCCCGCTGGGCCTCACTCAACCTTTCTCTAAGTTGCCCACCTCACAGGGTCATCCCAGGTTCGAATGAAATGATGAGTATGAACAAAAGTGCTTTGGAATCTGTAAAGTGCTATCCATCTACTAAAAATAGGGAAAACATACCACATTGCCATTGTTAATTCTGGCTCAGAGGACTCTACTGGACAGAGAAGAACTGCCCACAGGGTTTCCTACGCTGTAAAATCTTTATAGAAACAGACTGCTACAGCTTTTCCCCTCAAGACAGTTGGTAGGTTCGAACTATCAACTTTTCAGATAGCAGCTGAGCACTTAATCAAGATGCCACCATAGTTTTCTCTAAAGGACTTTAAACCACAGTTATTTCTAAGAGCAAGCTGGGTCTTTCCACAAGTGGCAAGGTCAGGAGAGAGCCTGGGGCCACCATGATTACATGTGTCAAGCCACCCTGGCCTGATAAATATCACTGACTATTCCTCACAGCCACTGTTTTTGTTATGTGCCGTCGAGTCACCTGCAACTCATAGCGACCCTATATACAACAGCCCTAAACCCTGCTCTATCCTCTGCCAATCTCACTATCTTCAACTTACCTACCCCAATTAACCCAGTGACTGAATCAATCCACCTCATAAGAGGGTCTTCCCCTCTTGCACTGTCCCTCCACCCTCCCAAGCATGATGTCCCTCTCCAAGGACTGATCCCTCCTTGCAACATGTCCAAAGTATGTCAGACGAAGCTTCAGAATCCTTGCCTTCAAGGAGCAGACTGGGTTAACCCTCTGCAGGACAAACCTGTTTGTTCTCCTAGCAGTCCATGGTATATTCAATACTCTTCTCCAGCACCAAAGCTCCAAGGCATCAATTCACCTTCTATCCTCCCTAGTCATTGTCCAGCTCTTTGACACATAGCAAGTGATTGCAAAGACCATGGCCTGTATCAGGCTCACCTTAGTCTCCAGATTTCCTTTTTTACAGATGAAAAAACTGAAGCTCAGACTCTAAAAGAGACTGGTCCAAAGTCATTCATGAGTGAATGTGTAGCCAGCCTCAGGTCTGTGTCCCCAGAGCTTATGCTCTTAACCCTGCTTCCTCTGAGGCCAGGAAACCATACTCCAGAAAGGTACAGGCCATGAATCAACATTCCTACCCGAGGATGGTCAGGCACTGAGCCCCGTATCTTCGATATGCACCCCAAACATACCTAAGCTAGGGCAAATATGGCATGTAGGCTGGATGCCACTTAAAGGCGGTGCCACTGAGCAGTTTCTATTAATGCATTCTCCCTCAAGTATGGTAGACATCCAGAGGTATAACTGAGGGGTGAGGTAGAGGAGGAAGACTTCCACTGGATGTGAGTCCAAAGGGGCACAAGATGAGGTGCGTAATGACCTTCTGAGGCACCACAGCTATGAAAGCGCGTGGAGGCAGCTGGACATAAAGAGGGAAGGTGTTTCTGTGGCTCCTTGCCATTATTAACATCCATTCATCTTGAAATTGGGTAGGGGTTAGGGTAGGTATGCCATGTAGAAAGGGTCCTCTGGTGCTTGTTGCCCTTGCCACACCCCTATCTGTATCCAATGCCTGGTGGACCCCAATATTAGAGGGTTTCGCACTGGCCACATGGCCCGCAGACCCTGTCTGGTTGGTCCTTTCCCTCTCTCTGCAGGCAGAGTGGGGTAGGCAAACACTCCATGTGAGGCATGTTGGTCTGATAAAGTCCCCTCGTCTTCCACTCCCCTATTTCATCAGTGTGGGATCTGGAACACTCTCTGCTCCATGGGAAAAAGTGGAACCTGGTCCCTCATGAGTTTGGAATAAGATGTTAGGGGTGGGAAGGGGGCGGTGGGCTGGGCAGGCTGAGAAGCCAGGGCAGCTGTAGGGGAGGTCACTGAGCCTGGCAAAGGCACATCAGGAAGAACGGCCGGGGTATCCTTGTCCAGAGACCTCTGACAGAGAATGTGGAAGGGAAGAACTCTTTCTGGACTTTGACCCTGACACTCAGGCCAGGAGAAAGAAATTGTCAATCGACCAGATGGCTGTTGGAAAGGTGTGAATGACTGTTCTGTGCACACAAAAGCATTGGGACAGAGATGCTCTCAATAAAGCAATCCAACCCCCAAGTACCAAGTAGCCAGGATGGAACAGTCACGAGGGGTCTAGCTAGTTTTTACGGGATGCTCAAGAGAAAGATGGATAATTGTCTCTCATGCAATGTACAGTCTCTGAAAACTGCTGAAGGGTCAGCGATGAGTTGGTTCCAACTTGATGGCACACAACAACAACATTTCAGAAACGAGGAAACCGAGGCTCAGAGAGGGAATGTAACCTGTATAAGGTCACACAGAAAGTAAATGATGGCGCTGGGAAGATGTGGAATCTACACTGACAGCCAATGCCGGGGATGAGGTTATTCCCAGGCCGGCTTCCTGACCCTCACAGAGCACCCCAACTAAGCAATGGCTACCTTCGGGGACAGGCCAGAAAAAGGAGAGTAGGACACTGTACCTTCCGCAGAGAGGCCAGAGGAGCTGTAGGGCGGGCCTCGAGTCAGCACCTCCTGCAGGATGATGCCGATACTGAAGGTGTCTCCTTTGAGGGTGCCCCGCCTCGGCCCCCCAGGAGCCCGCAGCAGTTCCGGCGCTGTCCACAGCAGTTCTGCAGTCACAGGACAAAGTCATCCAGAGGGTCAGAGGTCAGCAGGCAGACAAGGCCCTTTGCACACATGGCCTCATCACTTGGCTCCTCAAGCCCTGGGAATGTGTTGGAGCCTGTATTCTCCCCATTTCACAGATGAAGACTCTGAGGTTCAGAGAAGAATGCAGCCACCCCCAGGAAGTGTCTTTCTCCACACTCAGGTGGGAGCACCTGACTTAGAGACCTCAGCTCTTACTGGCAGCTCCCACCCGCCATCCACCCTGAGCTGACCTTCTGGGGCTGGTCGGGGGCAGCGAGCCCGCTGTGCATCCAAGAGCTCAGCATAGCCGTGGTCAGTGACCTTCAGCACAAAGCGTCCGTCCACCACACAGTTGCGGGATTTGAGGCGACCATGAGGGAAGTGACGATGGTGCAGGTACTTCACACCCTGGGGTGGACATTTAAGGGCCCATTAGGCCTGTGACAACCAAGATGGGCCCCAGCAACCAGAACACCTGCCCTGTCATGTTACTGTTTGCCTCACTGTTCAGATTTCTCTAAGGTGACATGGGAAGAGGCCACATGTGGAAAATTGAGAGTCTCTCCTCTCCCTGCCCTCCCAATGACCCTCACTGACTGGAACAGGCCTCACTCGGATCAAATCCAGCAGCAAGGAGGCCTTGAAGGTCCAGTCCAGCCGCAGTGCCTCGTTCCGCAGCAGGTCCTCCAGGCTGCCCCGCGAGCAGTGCTCCAGGACCAGAGCACTCACGCCAGAGCCCACGAAGAAGCCCAGGCAGATGGCCACGTTCTCATGCCGAAGTTCCCGCATCTGTTGGGACAAGGGACTCCGGGGTCTAGACCAGATGTGATCCAATATGAGCCTGCAGTGCTTGCAGGACTGGGAAGTGGACAAACAGATGAATGACTGAGTGAGTGAGTGGAACCACTAGACATGAGCGACACCATGAAATTACAGTGATTCAGGGACTCGGTGGCTTAGAAGCCAGTGAGATGAGGCACAAGCAGAAAGTCATGTCCCTGATGACAGCTATGTCAATTTCCCTCAGGGTGATTCTGACTCATGTGCTCTGGAGGGTGTTCAAGGCTGCGACCTTGGGAGCAGACAGAGTGCCAGGCCTGTCTTCCTCTGAGTCACCTCTAACAGGGTTTAAACAGCCAACTTCTCAGCTCATAGCCAAGCACTTAACTGTTTGCTCCACTCGGCTGTTCTTGCCCAGAAAATCAGAAAGCTCAAATCCAACCAGAGCTATCAGCAGTTGGCCTCCCAGGAAAGTCGGAGCCCTTGTATGGCACCTTCACACTCACAAAAACCTTCAGGGATAATCAACAGGGGAGTCTGCATACTTTTCTTCCTTTGGAAATGTATGAGCACATTGCCATATGTGTTGGATTAAGTTGTTGTTGTTGTTGTTGTTGTTGTTTGCCCTCAGTCCCTAGCGACACTGTGAATAATGGATCTGAAACCTGCCCTATCCTGCGTCAACTTCATCATCTCTGATATACTCCAGCCCATTGTTACCGTCACTGTGTCAATCCAGCTTGTTGAGGGTCCCCCTATCTTATGCAGACCCTCTCTATTTCCAAGAAAGATGTCCTTTTCCAAGGACTGACTCCCCTTAACAACATACCGAAAGGATGTAAGATGAAGTTTCATCATCTTTACTCCCCAGGAACTCCCTGGCTGCACTTTGTACAAGATGCACTTGTTTGAGTGGTCGTTGACTGCATGGTCCCTAACAGTAATGAGAGTGTTTTAGAATCAGGTATTACAAAAGAATACGTAACTGGAATCCTGTGATTCATTCAGCAACTTCTGAAATTACTTAAGAAATGCCCATAGTCACTGATTCTAGGACTCTCACTGGGCAAGCCCACCTTAACCTCCAGTCACTTTTTAAAATATTTTTTAATTTTTTTTTAATTTGTTGTATACCATTGAATCAGAACTGACTGGCAAAGGAGGAGACTGCCTCTCCTTCTCCAGTGGAGCATCTGGTGCATTCGAACCATGCACGCCTTCATGATTGCAGCACAGCTTCTTGCCACTAAGCCGCCAGAGCTCCCTCTCCAATCACTTTAATCTCTAAATTTTATTTCAGATTGGGATGGTGGTGATATTGGCAAAGTCACCATGTGTCGAAGACACACTACTTTCCAGGAACAGTTCCAGGTTATTCCATGTATTCTCGCTAATCCTTATCATTTTCCTGGAGGTTGATGCCATAGCCCCATTTTACAGGAAAGCTAAGTGTCTGTGGAGAGAGCATTCCACTGAGATCTTCCTGATTCCAAATCCTGGCCTCTGTCCTTCACCCCACATGACCTCTCATGAGAGAGAAGACTCGTCTGTGGTTAGTGATGACAAGTGACAGCAAACTCCCTGAGGGCAGGAACCAGTCTCCCTCTTCCACTGTGAATCCTTGAAGCCTAGCGCATAGGTTGAGCTCAATAAATGAACCCCCAGCCACACTCACTGCGAGTGGGTTCATTTAGATTCATAGCAACCCTGTAGCACAAAGTAAAACTGCCCGACAGGGTTCTCAAAATTGCAAATCTTTATTTAAGTGGACTTTTCCCCCTGTGGTTTCCAAACTTCTGACCTTCTGGTTAACAGCTGAGTACTTTAACCACCAAGGCTTCACTCAATAAATAGTGACTACGTGGGTGGATGAGCAGAGGGTGAAGAGCGGAGGGCCAGGTCCTTGGGTGGTGCTGACTACACTGTGGGGATGCTGAGGAAGGTGATTGTACCTGTGGTGGAGGGGACCGGCTTCAGGAATGCCGCTGTGCCGTGGGGACATTGTGGTGTATAATTGTGGTTGAGATTCTAGGAGTGAGACAGCAGTCGTGGTGCTGGGAATGACTTCTTTTTGAGACCAGAAGCCTCCTCATTGAATAAAAACCAATCCAAAACAGTAAGGGCCCCCCCAGTCCCACCTTCCGTGCCTTTGACAGCTCTACCTTTCTCAGGAGGCTGAGGGAACTCGGCCGTAGCTCTGGGGCTGTTCCAGCTTCAAGTTTCTTCAGCCGAACCCAGTCTCCCTATTCAGGAAGGGATAGGAAGTGCTTATCTGCTCCTATTTGCCAGCTGAGTGAACTTGGGGAAATCCCCCCATTTTTATGAGCCTCAGCTTCTTCATCATTAAGAAAAAAAGTCATCATCAAACCAATATTGAAAAAAGAAAAAGCATACAAACCATGTTTTGCCCATCATTGAAGCTCCTACCAGTAAAAAAGAAGGAAAAAGAAAACAATAACCACAACAAACCAAAATCAACATGTAATTCTTCTAGAGAGAAGGTGGGAAAGAAGAAATGAGATTTCTCACTGCTTCCTGTTTCCATCTGGCTTGTCTATGTGGGAAACATGGAGTGTGAGAATCACAGTGCCAATGAGAGTGAGTTTGGGACTGGTACGGAGTTCCCAAGCCGGTGGGTCCTACTGGGCTGACCACTGACCAAGTCCCTCCTAGCTGGTGACCCAGACCCTACCTGGATCCTGCTCTGGGCTGGGTGCTGTCCAACATGTCAGGGCCTCTGGGACCAGGGGTCTCATTGCCCTTTGCCTAAGTGTGCAGGGATGAGGCTGGGCCATCCTCATGACTGAGAAGGACGGTGAAATGGCCCCAGGCTGTCTGTGCCCAGGCTAAGTGGCCAGGAAATTTGTTCCCTAAGACCAGGTCTTGGATCACATAGGCTGGGAGCTGAAGTCTGGCCCTACTTTTAGTCTTGTCCTGACTTGCTTTGTGACCCAGCAAGTAACTCCAGTTACCTTTTTGCAACAAGAGTAGAGCAGGGGCCAGAGAAGCTACGGTCCCTCACTTCTCCCAAACTGTTCCCCAACGTGAAGGTAGAGGGGTGCTCACCTGGTACAGGGCCACACTGGCAGGCTCCTGGGAGGCTGGCAGGCTCCTTACTGAGCCCTGGGTCACTGACCTCAGGCTCCCACCATCGGCCACACTCCTCGACTCACTGCCACTATCTATGTTCAGCCTCTGCGGGAGAGTAAATATGATCAAAAGGCCAGGCTGGGCCTCAGCCCACTGCCTGCACACCCAGCCCAGTCCGTGCCTGACTCACCCGGCTGCTCGGGGGCTGCTGGATGAAGGTGAGCTCCTGGGCGTTCAGCAGAATCCGCTGGGGGCCCCGCACCAGCCGCAGCTGCCGGATGCCCAACCTAGAGGAGACACAGTGCAGTGATGGGACGGGACACACTTTACCTCACCTGAGTCTGACTCATAGTCCTCTCTGGCCTATCCTGCCTCACACCAAGCCCAGCTGGGCAGAGAAGGTACTGCGGAGTGCTGTCTCCCACAGACCCCTGCAGCCTCAGCTCAGGTCTGGAGGTCCCATGTCTAATGTCTTGATGGGTTGGAGACCAAGTGCTTCCAAGTTATGTGGAGGTCTCCAGGACAACCAGAGCCTGAGGAGAGGTAGTACATAGAAGGCTAACCCCCTTCCAGGTATGACCTAAGTTCAGAATGGGTCTGGATCCGGGAACACCAGGAGTTCAGACTCAAGGAGAATTGTTTTCCAGGCTGGAAGTAGCCCTTGGGACTCTTTCTGACCCAGCCCCTCATTGTGAAAACTGAGGGGAGGGCAGAGTTTAGTTCAAGGTTATGGGCTTCTTTCTCAAGGCACAGCTACACCATCTCTGGAGGCAGGGGGATCCCTGACAAAATGCTGAGTGAGGGTTTAGGATGGACAGGAGCCCTGGGTGGTCCCTAGCCCTGGGAAAAAGGATAGGAAGCAGATTTCCAGGGCTGTGCATACATAGAGAGGTCCTGCGAGCTGGGCATAGGGCACAGAGCCAGCCTCAGGCACTGACAGTCTCACCTGATGAGGCAGGTGAGGGCCCCACCAGCCAGCAGCAGGACTCCGGACAGGACTAGGATGAGAGGGCCGCCCAGGGGCTGCGCACCTGTGAGGAAGCAGGGCGGGGAGGGGGGGGGGGTGGAGAAATCTTTACAGCTGTAAAGATCACACAATGAGGACAGCCCCCTTCACTTCCTGGGTAAGTTCCTCCTCTGGGAAAGGGAATACAGACTTCTGTCCTATGTGGGATTTCAGGAGGGTCCTGGTGGGAAACCCTATCTGTGATGGTCATCAGGCACAGATATGAGTTCCCAGCACCACTGTCTGTGTCTAGATATAGACCCCTGCCTCTGGGCCTAATGGCTCCTGCTCAACCTCATTAAAGTCATGGTCACTCTGTAATAATATCATATGTCAGTCCCTCCTGTTAGACTAAGAAGAGCAGAGAGAGAGAGAACAGTTTTAATGATCTGTTTTTACCCCTGGCTCCTAGCACATGGCAAGTGCTGAATAAAATTTGTCAGGTGAGGGTGCCTACTAGCTGTTGTGCTGTTTCTTCTTGCTTGCCCTCTGCAGTGGACCACTCACTCCCTACCTTGTCAGCTGGCTCCATTGTAGGATACCTCTGACTATTAGAAAAGCTCAGCTCTTCTCTAGTCTCCATGTCAGGATCTATATGAAGAGGCTGGCTGGGTCCTCTCACATAAGGCGCGGGCCTATTTTACCTTGGCATCCCAGCATCAGCCTGGACTGTCAGAGTGGTCAAATGCTCAGCTCCATCCTGGAAAGAGGACAGTGGCTTCCACTGTCAGGGTGAGTGGCAAGCTTCTTTCCTTCCCTCTCCTCCTTCCTTTTGCAGGGAAACAAGGACTGCTCTGCCTGCCTCTTTCTAAGACACCTTGAACTGAACTGAATCCAGACAATAAAAGCAGCAGCAAATATTTTGTAGTATGTATTGTGAAAGAAGGCTGTTATGTATTTTTACTTTGCAAGTGTGGGACTTATTGTTAAAAATAGCTATCCTGTCCATTAATTTGGCTTTTCTGTGTGGATGGGTGGGAATAGGCAAATAGGGCATGTTAGCCTATCCACAAGACGACTGGCTAGCCTCACTAATCTACAAGGGGATTTATTAGTCTCGCCATTAAACTGAGCAGATCCAGGGGCAGGGGCGGGGCGGGCGGGGGGGGGGGAACCCCACCGCCAGCAAAGAAGAGAAAGCAAGAGAATGTAACTCTTCCATCCAAACCAGAGCAACAGCCGCAGCAGCCACAGTGGGGAATCAGAGACCTGACACGAGATGGAGTGGACCTTGGTACTTTTCCGCATGGACAGAACCAGAGCTCAGCTAAGCCTTTGCTCAAGTTTGCTGGATAAATTAGGGTGGAGGTGGAAGAGAAGAGCCAATATTGGCAGGACTGAGAACTTTGTATCACTGGCCTAAAGTGAGGCTCAAGGCTGAGGATCTTGTGAGCACATTTCAGAAGCCATCCTGACTGTATTCTGCCACTAACCTGGATTATAACCTTTTGACCTCCACAATATAGTTCTGTGAGGTCTGAGAGCTATCAAATCAGATTTTGAACCCAGTAAAGCAATGAGATTGATACTGAGTAGGAAGAGGTAAGGGAGTGTCAGGGAAATGACTGACTTCACGGGAACTGGTTTTGTGTTGTTCATACTTTTGATGGGCACAGTTTCCCTGTGTGGAGTTGTTAAAGGTCAGATATGGCTGTCCCTATGTGGCCCTTGCTCTTTTACAGCAAGTCTTCACAAAGGCCTCTGGAAATAGGTATGTTATTCTCTCAAATCTATGGATGAGGAAACAGAAATGTCAAGTAACTATGAGAGGCAGGGACTGGGTTCAAGCCCAGATAGTTTTGGTATCTGTATTGGCATCTGTCCTTAGGGAGCTCTGGTGGCCTAGTGGGTAAGAAGTCGAGCTGCCATCCCACAGACAGGTTGTGGTCCACTCGCCTGTAATTCACTAAGAGGTAATGCACCATGCGAGAAAGATGGACAATCTCTTCCTGTGCAGTTTATAGCCTCTGAAAACACACTGGTTAGTCAGCTGTGAGCCAGCTATGAGTCAGTGCCGATTTAACAGCAATGAAAGAGAGAGATCTAGACTCCTACCCATTGCACTACTTTTCTTCACCAAAGGCTTAGAGGAAGGAAGGAAGGAAGATTGGAGTAGAGATTTAAAGAGGTAAGGAGTAAGCCGTACTGGATGTGGCGGTAGAGATATCCAGGCATGCCATGAGCATGGTGTGATGCACCCAGTGGGTGAGAAGCACACAGTAGGGAGGGAGAGCTCTGACTGGAGAGCTGTTCTTGAAGAGTAAGGTCCCCAAACCAAACCTATTGCCATTGAGTCAATCCCTACTCATAGTGACCCTTCAGAGCGAAGCAGAGCTGCCCTGTGGTTTCCAAGGCCCTCTGCAAGATGGACTAACACGGTGACTGCAACAGCAGCTCAAGCACACAGTGACCGCGAGTATGGTTGCAGAAAGGGGTTGTGTTTCCTTCTGTTGTCCTTGGGTCACTGTGGGTCAGAGACAGCTCCACGGCATCTAACAACAACAACAATCTTTAAGGAAGCAGGCTGCCACATCTTCCCACAGAGCAGCCAGTGGGTTCAAACTGCTGACCTTTTGGTTAAAAACTGAGCTCTTAAACATGGCATCACAAAGACTCCTGTTCTAGAAAGATAAGGAGGATTTAGCCAATCAAAGTGGAGAGTAGAACTCTGGGAAGAGATAAAAGCCTGTGAAAATGGAAGCTAGAAAGAGCAGCATGTGTTTGGGGGAAATCAAGAATTAGCCTTCTCCACAGAGTTTCATTGGAAGATGAGAAGCATCTTCCAACTGAGGTGAAGAAACAGGCAGAGAGAAGATCATGAGGAAAACGGAAGCTGCAGAAGGGTTGGGCAGGATGGGACATAAGCAGATCTGGCCAAACCTAAGATTACCCACTGACGCAGTAACCACAACAGACTTGTAGTAGGGAATGTGGGTGCATTTGATTATTTGTGCTGACGTGTTATACGTTCGTCTCTGTACAAAGTTATTCATAGGTATACAGTAGAGCTGCATTAGTGATAAGAGCTTTCACTGACAGATGCCAGGAATCTGAACAGGATGGGCTTTCTCACCTCATACTCCCTTGTGGTCATGAGATAAAAAGAATTCTGTGCTTGAAGTCAGGAGATGCAGCTCAGTATGAGCTTAAGTACAAGCTCAGTGTGAGCCTAGGTGGTGCCTCCCTGCATGACCTTAGGCAAGTCCCCAGACCTCTCTGCACTTTGGTTAGCTGGTGTCCCTGGAGGGTAATAGCCCAGTCACAGGGCTGGGGTAAGATCCAGGAGCATTAAGAGATAAGGACATGCTCTGTAAACATTATAGCCTTGCTCACTGGAAATAGCCTCGCCAGTCTTTCTGGTGCTTTGCAACTGCTTGGTTGGCCTCGATGGATGAACAACCCTGACAGTAAGTTCTTAAGTCTTTGCACCTACCATTACTTATCACTAAGACTGTTCAGAAAGCCTAGGATGTTGGCTCTATAGATAGATAGACAGGTGGATGGATGGGTGGATAGATGGATGGACAAGTGGACAAATGGGTGGTGGTGAATTACCTCTCACACAGAGTGTATTTGGGTCAAACCAGCAGCTGGAGTCTCGAGCTGGAGGAACCCCTCCTGGGAAGTGGATGGTCCTGCCGAGAGGCTGCACTTGCCATGTTCCTGTGTCCAGGATGTGGGTGGGGACCAGCTGGCTTCCACAACCATCGGTGTCCAGGATGACATACCAGGCCAGTCGCCTGCCCTTCTCATCTGTTTGGATCCTCTGGCTAAAGCCGGCCACGTCCAGTGCCCCAGTGTAGTTCCCTAAGTCGATCCCCGAGACCCTTGCCCCCTGGCTCTCAGCGCGGCTCAGGGAATGAGCCAGAAGGATCACAGCGTCATAGATGGTTCCAAAGAGTGGTGACACCTGCAGAAGACAAGTCCCCAACCTCATGGCACAGACTCCCAGATAACTCTGAGCCCTGATTCTCCTGGCAACAGGAATTGGCATCCACACGCTTGTCACTACCTTTGGACACCAAGATGCAGACGTACAGAAAGAGACTTGTGTTCAAATAAGTCCTTCAAGTGAAAACCAAGCCAACAGCCCTTCCTTCTTCTTTCTAACTCTTACAATCTGTATCAGCAACTTTAGAAAACTTTTCCTTCTTTCACATTTTTCATTACTCTTAACCTTTACACCTTCCAATTTTCACTATTTGCCAGAAACACACAGAGAAAGAAGATTGTCTTCAAGAGAAAAAGCAGTTGGGCCAGAAAGGAGAGTTAGAGAAATTGAGAACCAATGAGGGAACAGAAGCAAAAAAGACCCAGAAGATGAAGGGTAAATAAAAGTGCTAACAGAGTGACTCATTAAAGAGCGACACATACACAGGACAGAGAAATTGGGTATGTCCAAGGACTAGGAAGAGAGATCTTGTCAAAGGAGGGACAGGTCTTGGGCCTACAGGGAAGGTGGGACTGGATGGCTGAGTGATTGACTGACCAGGCCATCAAGGGTGAGAGTGGACAAGTACACCATGCCCTAGGTCCTCAGGGTCCTGTGAGGGCATGTGAGGGGTTGTACTGACCTTCTCTGGCTCCAGATGGGAAGGCACCTCTCCACCCATGTTGGCAGTGGTGACAGCTTTGTCTGCCAGGCTAGACTCCAGGCTGATGGTGAGCACAGCATCGTAGACACGCTGCAAGGGCCCCCTGTCTCCGAGGGCTGGGTAGGAGTGGTTGCGATAGGGCAGCGCGAACAGCAGTGTGTCATAGGGCAGGAAGACGAGCCTCCCGTCAGCCAGGCCTTCTGTCCCTGCACGGCTCAGCAGGGCCGTCTGCTCCTGGCCGCCCAGGAGCGCAGAGTGCATGCACAGCACCACGACTGGGGCAGAGACGGCAAGGTCACCTGGGGCCAGCTTCCCACGGGCTTCCCTGAAGGCCAGGATTCTGTGCCATGGACAGCTGCCCTGTATTCCCATCAAGGCCCCCCCGTGCCACTCCCAGTCCCCTCATATCTCGTCACTCTGGTGAAAGGTAGACATTTCCCTTAATCTGTTCTTTCTATGTCAGTAGCAGTCAAGGCCACCAAACCTAGGTTCATCCTTGGGAAAAAGTACCTCCAACTGAGAATGTATTTATATGAACAAGTCTCTCTTGTTCAGAGAGCCTGCCCATCAACCATTTTGACCAACTTCTGACTCCTCTCTTTACCTCACTGGCTCTGACAGTTGCTAGTATCTACTATAATGTCTTAAAGTACTTTTACAAATGTTTGGTCATTTGATAAGGCAACAAGCCTACCCAAAAGCACAAAGCTCACTGCTGTCAAGCCACTTCTGACCCAGGGCAGCTGTCCTTGGGGTTTCCAAGGCTGTGAATCTAAACAGGAGCAGACCATCTTGTCTTTCCTCCATGAAGCAGCTGGTGGGTTCAAACTACTAGACTCTGTGTTCACAACCCAACATGAAACCTACCATGCCACCCGGGCTCCTTCACAACAGCTTAAAAGTTGTATATTTCATTATCTCTGCCTTTCAGATGAGGAAACACAGGGCAGTCAGACTATTGCCCCCAGATACATCATCACAGTGGGTCTTCACCCCATATCTGGTACCTGGCTGGTAACTGTGTCCCTGGATGACACCCCTCACTTCCCTCAAGATCTAAGCAGATGTCAACACACATACCTCTTTTATAGAAGAAATTAAGCACCAATTACCCTCAAGTTTATTCCAATTTAACAGTGACCTCTTGTGTATCAGACAAGAGCTATGCTATGCTACGGATTTTCTGTGACTGTTTTGTCAAAAATTAATTGGCTCACTTCTGAGGCAAGTCTGGGTGTACTCAAACCTTTAACCTTCAAGTTAGCAGTTGAGCTGTTAAACTTTCATACACCACTCAGGAAAGCAAGCAGATGTAGACCTTTGATAGTTAGAGAGCTGGTCTCACCCTCTGGATGTGATAATTCCCTATGAATTATACCACTAGAACACTGCTTTGTACTACAAAGGGGCTTGAATTTGTCTCACATTATTGATGAGCGCAGAGAGATTTAGTGGCTTGCTTGAAATCACACAGCTAGTAGAAAGTGAAGCCAGGAGTGAGACTCTGGCTATGTGACTCCAACTTGGTCCCCTACTTACCCTGCCCTCTTGGATCCTAAATACTAAAACTATGGCTGGAGCTCAGAAGGCCTCCCTGCCAGAAGTAAGGATCCCACACGGACTTTCTAATCTCTTCCTGACATGGGCCTCTGAGCAGGGTTGCAATGAAAGTAAAACAGAACAAAACAAACACAGCTGCTTTGGATGTAGCCTGGGATCCCTCTGCAATCCTTTTCTCGTAAATACCCAGGAAAATGGAAGGACAGGAGTCTCCTTGCTGGGGCCTGAGGACCCCTCACCATGTGAGAATCAGAGGCTGGAACCCTGGCCTCTGCTGAGCCCCTGGTGGGCTATCCTGGGTGAAGGGAGCCACATAAACAGGAACATCAGCCCTGGTTGAGTGCTCCCTGCATTCAGACCACTGCTTTGTGTTCTTTATCTGCAGTGGTTCATCTCATCTTCATGATTCTGCAGGATAGTTGCTGTTGTTGCTATGTGCCATCAAGTATGTGACTCATAGGGACCCTATATACAATAGCTCTGGGCCCTGCCCTATTCTGAGCCAATATCACTGACTCCAACGCACCTAACCCTATTGCCCCATTTACTGTATCAATCCGTCTCATCTGGAGTCTTCCTCTCCTGCAGTCTCCCTCCACATTTCCAAGCATGATGTCCTTTTCCAAGGACTGATCCCTCCTGGCCACATGCCCAAAGTATGTGAGACGGAGCTTCAAAATCCTTGTCTCGGAGGAGAAACTTGGTTTCACTCTCACCAAGACAGACCTATTTGTTCTCCTGGAGGTCCATAGTATACCCAATACTCTTCTCAAGCACCACAACTCAAAAGCATTTATTCTTCTTCTGTTATCCTTAGTCATTGTCCAGCAAGTAATTGCAAAGATGGCCTTTATCAGGTGCACCTTAGTCTCTAGACTGAAATCATCATTCTTTAGGACTTTGGGGAGGTCCCTGACAGTAGACTTTCCCAGTGCAATTTGTCTTTTGACTTCCTAACTGCTGATGTGAAGAGTGTTGATTGTGGAGCCAAGCAAGCTGGAATTGTTAACAACCCCAGTCTCTTCTCCATTATCATGATGCCAATTGGCCCAGTGGTGAGAATCTTTGTCTTCTGAATATTGAGCTTCAATCCATATTAAGGACTACAGTCTTTGACCTTCTGCAGCAAATGCTTCAGATCATCCTCACTTTCAGGAAGTAAGGTTGTGTCATCTGCATAATGCAGGTTGTTTTCCTCCTGTCCTGATGAAGCTTAGATTTACTAGCTGTCATCAGTGCAATTCTGACTCGTGGCAGAGTAGACTTGTGCTCTGTAGAGCTTTCAAAGGCTGTTTTTCGAAAGTAGTTAACAAGGCTTTCTTTGAAAGTGCCTCTGGGTGTATTTGAACTTCTAACCCTTCAGTTAACCAGTTGAGCATGTTAACCATTTGTACTACCCACTGTCATTGACTCAGAACTGACTCATAGCTGACTGTCCAGTGGTTTCTGAGGTTTTACATGACACAGGAGGAGATGGCCCATCTTTCTCTCAAGTAGCCGCTGGCACAACTTTGAGTCAGCAGTGCAACTCCCTATGGACTACACCTCCATAGTGTCTGTCCCTTTGTGTCACCCAGGGGCTTGAGTTTGTTCCATACTATTCAGGAGAAAACTATAGCTCAGAGAGATTTAGTGGCTTGTGTGAAGTCACCCAGCTGGTAAGAAATGAAGCTAGGAGTGGGACTCTGCCAAGGTGACTCTAGGTCCATTCCCTACCTGTCTTTCTCTCTAAACGCTACAGCTCTGGCTGGAATTCGGGCTCCTGCAGAAGTGAAGGAGATAGGATCTGATCCAGCTTCTCCCGCCCACTCCCACCAGGCTTCATCCCCTCAGAACCAAGCCCCTCCCTCATCATTCCCCTTTCCCCCTTCACATGTGAACTCCATCTCTATGCAGGAGCGGGTCCCTATACCTAGAACTTCCCATCGTCTCTATCTGAATTAATGTCTCATTTTCAGGCTCAGCTCTAATCATTAGCATGACATTGTGTGACCCCTGCTCCTCTGTGAAGTCTTTTGAGAATGTCAGCTCCTCCAGCCTCAGTGCCTCACTGACCGAGGTGCAGACAGGACAGTCTGCACATCTGTCTCCCCTGCCAGCCTTAGGGCCTCGTGCCCTTCTGGGATCAGGCCAGTTCCTCTCTATGTCCACAGAGGCTAGACACGGTCCATGCAGAGCAGTGCTTAGGGACTGTGGTGAAAGGACGTGTCTTCCAGGCAATTAATCACACACATCTGCCCCTGGTGTTCTCAAGAAATTATTTTCCTTACCCTCCTCTCCTCTCCTCTCTTCTCCTCTCCTCTCCTCTCCTCTCCTCTCCTCTCCTTTCCTCTCATCTCCTCTCCTTTCCTCTCTTCTCCTGAAAGATCGAGCCTCAGGGAAGTGAGGCATGGCATTGGAGGTCCCAGTGGACCCATATGGCAAGTCTCCTTCTCCCCTAACCGACCACATGACCACAGCAGGTTGCCCACCCATCCCACCCCTACAGTTCTTGGCCTCAATTCCTCCCAGTATAAAACACGTTGGTCTTCTTGTGGCTGTTGCTGTTGTTGGGTACCACTGAGTTAGATCTGACCATAGCTGACCCTCCGGTGGGTTTTCAGAGGCAGTTAATCACATGGGAGATTGCCCATCCTTCTCCCGTGGAGCAGCGAGTGGATTTGAACCACATGTCTTCAAGATTGCAGAGCAGCTTCTTGCCATTAGGCCACCAGAGCTCCCCTGTTGGTCCTAGTGGTTACTAAATGCTGCCCCATGGTAGGAAACACATTTACCTCAGAAGGCTCACAAAATGTAATATGTTGAGCTTGAACACACAAAACAGTAAGAAAGTGCCACTGGATACTTATTACCCAATGCTGTTTACTCTTACTCACTTGAGTCGATGCTGACTCACTGACTCTATTCTGACTCATAACCACCTTATAGGACAGAGTAGGATTTCCCCAATGGGTTTCCGGGGTTTAAATCTTTACGGACCTAAACTGCCACACTTTGAATTGCTGATTCTTTGTTTAGAAGTAAAATCTTTAACCACTGTGCCACCAAGGCTTCTCTCTATTCACTCTTATTACCTGTGAATGCATTCATGTTCACTATCTTTATTCTAGTCAATCTTCTTCACTTCTACTCGATCTTACTCTTATCTCTCCAATTATATTCTATACTTCCTTTCTTTTTTTCATGACCCTGGTCATAATTTACTGGTTGGTGTCTTGATCCAAATGGATCATAAAGCACATTTTGAAAACCTTCCCTGTAGATTAACTCTGAGGTCCCTCATCCTTTAGGGACACCTCTTCCCTGACCCCCAACTCACCATGCCTTTCTTGGCTACTTCCCTAAAGACAACTCCTCCAAGAAGCCTCCTTAAATGTCCCAGGCCCTTTCCAAAATCACACTCTGGTTCTCAGACCTCTGTCCCTGGGTTGGCCTTGGCTTCTTTGTCACAAACTCCTGATGGGTTGACCTGCCTGTCTCCCTATCACACAGTCACCTCCTCTGTCCTGTCCACCACTATGACTCAGCCCATATAGGCAATGGATCAATGCAGGACTCAATCAACAAATGAGACAAAGCTTCAACTTTAATTCCAAGAAGCTCTAACTTCCTTCCTGGGGTTCACTTGTTCTCTACTTTCATTTCCTTTACATTTTCTGGAGAGAACCAAGTGTGCCCTCTGTTCCCACTCCTCGACTGACCCTAGATTCTAGTCACAAAGCCTAGAATCCAGCTGTACCACTCAGCAGCTGTGTGACTTGGGTAAGTGACATACCTTCTCTGAGCTTCTGGACCTCAGCAGATCTGCTCAGAAGACCACTATGAGGTCAAACGCAGTCCCACTGCCAAGTATTAGACCCAGTATCTGAGTGAGGGAAGCGCCCCGTCAGGTGAAGCCCAGCCTGCACTTGGGAGGAAGTCACCCACAGACACTTACTTTTCAGGCCATCCACACCATGGAGCTGCTTCAGGACCTCTGCAGTCCCCTGATCCCCAGGTCCCAGTGACGTCACCAGCCCTACAGGTAGCCCGTGTGTCCTGAAAGTCGTGGCCACCTGTCGGGCTGTGGCCACCCAAACATCCTGGTGAGAGGACACAATGGCCACGCGGGCCCAGCCAAAGTGTCTCAGAATTGAAAGCAGCACATGGGCAGCAGAAGGCAAGGTGGGCACCAGCTCACCTCCTCCCTCTGAGGCTTCACACACCCAGGAAAAGAGGGTCTTGCCCCAGCCTTGGGCCAGCAGAGCTGCCGCTGGGCAGTAAGCAGGATTGACAGGGCCCACAAAAGCAGCAACGCTGTCCTTGTGGGCCAGGAATGTGGCCAGGGCCTGAGGGGCATCACAGCCTGTGGACAGAACCACAGAATCCAGCTGAGAGCCTAGCAACAGAGAGGAGTCCTGGTTGGCTCGGTCCACAGCCAGCTGGGCAGCCAACCTGGGGAGGGCTTGGGCAAAGATGGGATCACAGTCCCAGGGGCCCAGCACCCCCAGGGTGAAGGTGTCTGCCATACAGGCTGGGTGGAGAAGAAATTCAACCCATAAGAGGGTACCCCAAATCCACACAGAAAGAAATGGCGGGAAAGGGGTTTTCACTGGTAGACTGAGGGCACACCGCCATGGACCCCAACAGGATACAGATGTCGTCTCACTTGGCTGTGTCCAGCACCAGCCTTCAGGGTCTGAGCCACCCTGAACTCCTCCTAGTGAAGGGGGAGAATAAAGACAAAGTTTGCTCTCCTGTATTTATCATCAGCATTTACTTTGCGATTTTAAGACAAATACCTCCTTGCAGAGTCCCAGGTTCCTCATGGGTAAATAAGAACCAAACTCAAGATCTCCACGGACTGCAAACTCTGGGGACCAGATACCCTCCCCAGAACTGGCTCACAGCCTCACAATGTCAAGTCAAGGCCTGAGTTTATTTCTTCTTTATTCCTTCTAGAATTATTGTGAGGACTGATTTGTATAGGGTATCTACCATGGGAATCTAGAACTTGACAGGTGAAAAGCACAGATGACAGAAGCAGAACTGGCCAGATTCCATCCACTTGATATTCCTATCTATATGGCCCTGAATCAGACTCTGAAGTTCTGAATCCCACTTTCTTCCTCTGTGAAATGTGAATAAAATCTATTTTCTAGAGATGTTGTGATGATTGCATGGCCTGATGAGCAGCCTTTACCACAGCCTCTCGTCTCATGCTGAGGTAATCACTAAATCCTGCCTCTTTCAACTTATTGCTATTTCTAAAATTATTTCATTTTCTTTTTATTGTTGTGATTCTGCACAGAGAACCATACACCAAGTCACCAACTGGTATATATACAATTCTGTGGCATTGATTATATTCTCCAAGTTGTGTAGTCATTTCCCCTCTGTTTTTCCAAATTACTTTTCCACCATTAACATAGACTCCCTAGGATTCTGGTCTAACCCCCTGAGTCACCACTATTTGTTCTATCCAATATGGATAATTCTTTAAGAAAGCACAAAGCTCAAGACGAGTATTCTTCACTAATTGTGTCCTGGTAGCATCGTCCTCAGGGATTCGCACCATTAACCCAAGGGTGGTGTTTCTCTGACAATTCAAGTGTATGCCCGACCCAAGCCATTCCATTTTTAATTGCTTTAAATGCTTGTGAAAGTTGAACAATGAATAAGGAAGACTGAAGAAGAGTGTATGCCTTTGAAATGTGGCATTGGTGAAGGACATTGGACGTATTATGGATGGCTAAAAGGCCAATCTGTCTTAGAAAAAATGCAGCCAGCATGTTCCTTCGAAGTAAGGATGGTGAGGCTTTATTTCCCGTATTTTGGGCATATTATCAGGAAAGGACACTCTACTCAGAAAAGTAGAAGGTCAGCAAAGGAGAGGAAGATTCTCAATTAGAAGCACTGACACCGTGATTTCAACAAAGTCAATGCAGGATGGGGCAGGGTTTGGGTCTGTTGTGCATACAGTCACTGTGAGTCATCATCAACTCAATGGCACACAACAGTAACAGCCTTGTACGGTCACTAGGTAGTGAAGTTAAGAAACTCAATTGTTAATCAAAAGGTTAAAAGTTAAAGTCCAGCCAAAGGTGTCTTGGAAGAAACTGGCTGGTGATCAGAGGAGCACACACCCTCCTAGTCCCTCCAAGTCCCGAGCCCTGAGCGTGGAGAACATCTGAAAAATAAGCTTATGGAAACCTTGTGGACCACATCTAGCTCTGCTCTGGCAGTTCCAGGGTTACCACAAGCGGGAATTGACTCCATGGCAGCAACTGACTGCTTTAGGGTTGTGGTGTTTGGGGTTTTTGTTTGTTTTATTATGAACCATTGTGAAGACTGTGGTAAGAAATTGTACTACTAACATAAAGGTATGTGGTTCGAATTCACCAGGTGCTCCACAGGAGAAAGATGGACAACTTCCTATGTGGTGTACCACCTCTGAAAACCCCTGGAGGGTCAGTTATGAGTTGGTTCCAACTCAGAGGTACATAACAGCAACTATGGGAACTAAGAGCATGATACATTTACTAAATGGAATGTTGTGGTGGTGGTTGTGCCCATTCTCCCTACGGAGCAGCTGGTGGATTTGAACTGCATGCCTTTGGGATTGCAGCACAGCTTCTAACCACTAGGCCATCAGAGCTCCTTATTCCATTAAATGGAATAGCTACCATTATCATCAACATCATCATCATCATCGTCTTTGGGTCTTTGAAAAAAGGTAAAAAGAGAGCTGGAGGCAGAGTAGGAGTCCTGAGTTTTAGCCCCCAGTCCTGTCTATCCTTGTCCCACTCTGAGTCTTGGCTTTCCATATGTAAAGAGGCCAATTTTCAAGACGGGCTCACTCTGCCAGGTGGGGATATAACAGTTCTCCGCAGCCAGGTCTCAGAAATTGGGAGGGTGCTCTTCTTCTGGTGGCCTCTGAGGGTCCTCTGGACCATTCCTTTGCTGGTATGATGCTCCCTGCAGTCTCCTAGAAGCTGGGTTGAGGCTCACACTCTCCCCTGGATACGAACCCCTCAGAGCAGCAGGCTAGCACTGCGCTCACAGAGGTTAGTCCTTCCCAGCTGAGGACAGAATTTCGTGCCAAAAATAATAACAAGGTCAGTCACTTATGCCCTTACATTTCTGCTCTCCAAAGCACCTATGATCCTCTGCTTTGCTGCCCTCTCAGAGATCTAAAGAAGAGAGTTTTAACCCCTTTTTTCAGAGGAAGAAACTGACACTGGGAGGAATGGAAATTTGCCCAAGTTGAAAAGTTAAGGCTAAGTTGCAACTGAAACTCAGCTTCTTGTCTTGCAACCAAAGACAAAAATGACCTCTTTTTGTTGGCACTTAGAACATCAGAGCTGATAATTCCTTGGAGATTCAAATATCTGAACCAAACTTTTCCTTCAAGGTGAGGAAACTGGGGCAGAGAAAGGATTATAGTTTCCCTCGGTCCTGCAAGACAGCAGCCGGCTTCTCTGGCCCCAAAGGCCTCCAGGCAACAGCCAGTATCTGCAGGGATTCTGTCTTGGTGGCCTGCAGAGCTCACAGAGGGCTCACCCTTGACCTGTCTCAGACCAGGGCAGGCACTGACTTTCAGTCTCAGCTCTGTGGCACGCAGTGGAATCCGCTGGATTTTCTCATCTATACAGAACAGGCTGGAGTTGGATGTTGAGATCTCCAAGCATGCTGACTTCAATCTCAATAGAAAAACAAAGGGATGGTTTTTGCCCCTAGAGCTGGCAACTTCTCTTCCCACTGCTTCCCTGGGAAGATGGGAGTTGTCAGTCTCCATTACCCCACTCCACATAGCCACCTTCTGAAGCAATACTATTGTTATTTTAAAACTCAAAGATCTCGAGGATTAACCACTGATTACTCGGTTTAGCATTAGTTAAATCTACAATATCAAAAGCCAAAACATGAAGATTCCTTTAACTGTATTAACAGGATGAAAGACTAAAGACAAGGTGGTCGGGAGCTAGGGAAGGAGTTAAGGGATTGCTGTCAGAGTCAGGGTCCATTACGCCCCTGCATCCTAGAGTTACCTTCCTGGTCCCCAACCTGCTCACCTTTGCAGCCCCTACAGACTCACCTGTCATACTGTGTGGCTGGTGGTTCACAGACCTTTTGTGAATCCTAAGGCTCCTGTATGAGGGTTCACAGGTGCCATGCTTTGCAGGCAGATTCTGGCCCCGGGACCCTCATTCCCAGCACAGTCTGGCCGGTCACCACTCCTGTTTGTCAGCTCCCAGATGCCTGCCTGGAGGATGCCTCATACATGGCTCATTGCCTTCCTGTCCCCTTCAGGGGCCTGAAGAAGCCAGTTGGAAAATTAGATTTGCTCAGACCCCATGGTTCTGGAAAACCATGTGGAAAGGAAGGAGGTGAGAATGAGAAAAGGAGAGAGATGACGTGTGTGCAATGATGGGGTGGGGGTGGGGGGCTGGATAGCAAAATAACTTCAGCACTTGGGACAGCCCCAGACCTAGTGCAACTCCAAAGAGGAGAGTTTGACCATTGACTATATGCCAAGTTTTGTGCTTGGCACTGCTCATACTACCAACTTGGAAAGGCATTTTCATCCCTGTATTATAGATAAGAAAATTATGGCCCAGAGATATAAGAAATTTGACAAAAAGCACAAAGCCAGTAGGAGCAGTGCAAGCCTGGACCCAGCACACCACATTGAATCTGGAAATCAGAATGTGAGTTTTCTATCAAGTCAGAGAGCTGGACAGTGACTAGGAAGGATAGAAAGAGAACTGGTGCCTTTGAGCTGTGGTGCTGAAGAAGAGTGTTGTATATACCATGGACTGCTAGGAGAACAAACAGGTTTATCCCAGAGAGGGTGAAGCTGGGCTGCTCCTTGGAAGCAAGGATTCTGAAGCTTCATCTGACACACTTTGGGCATGTTGCAAGGAGGGATCAGTCTTTGGAGAGGGCCATCATGTTTGGGAGAGTGGAGGGACAGTGCAGGAGAGGAAGACCCTCAATGAGATGGATCGATTCAGTTATTGGGGAAGTGGGAGTAGGTGTGTCAGAGACAGTGAGGTTGGCACTGGATAGAGTAAGGTTTAGAGCTCTTTACATAGGGTCACTATGAGTCATAAACTACTCGACGGCACATAACAACAAGAAGATATAATAATGGTTTCTAAGGTGGTGGTGGTGGTTGTTGTTAGCTGCAATCAAGCCTAGTGTGACTCATAGCAACCCTATGAACAACAGATCTTACTCTCATTCTATCCATATCAATCCATCTTGATGCGATCTTCCTCCCTTACCTGATTCTCCACCCTTTTCATTTTCTATGGAATAGCCTCTCCTATGATGCTTTGCTATGATGCTCCCAGCAGTCTCCTAGCAGCTGGGTTGAGGCTCGCACTCTCCCCTGGAGATGAACCCCTCAGGGCAGTGGGCAAGCACTGCACTCACAGAGGTTAGTCCTTCCCAGCTGAGGGCAGAATCTTGTGTCAAAAATAATAACAAGGTCAGTTTGAGAGATGAAGCTTTGTCATTTTTG